GAGATACCCATGGGGGGTTGTAAGAGACATACAAGGGGGTGTAAGACACATAAAGGGGATACAATACACTAGATGGGGTAAGAATTTCAAAAGACTGGATACGAGACACTGCTAAAGATGCATTTTTGGTGTGTGAAGCCAGAAATCCTTGCACCGCGGTGCTCTGTAGCTAGCCAACCTTTTTGAGAGTTTTCTGTGAATCATGTTAGAACAGCTTTCATATAGACTTTGCTCCATTTGTTTTTTTCTTTAGAAGACTCACTAAATTTACTTACTCGATCCTAAAGTCACATGATAGACTGATGTTCCCACGTTTGGTTATTCTTATTGTTTTGCAGGAACCACAAGGTGGCGACACAAAGGCTACCAAAGAGCAAGAAAACGCAGATGACGGTGGTGAGAAAGCAAAAGATGAACTATAAGGGACAGTTAATACATCACAAATCAAGAAATGAAGACAAAGGTTCATTGAGATCCACGTATTGAATGGTGGTTAGCAGAATGTGGAGATACATGTACTGAACAATAATATTCGAGGACTTGGTTCATTGTTTCAAATTAATTGATACAAAAATATGCCTTTACAATGTTTTACTTTTCCAAACTAAATAAAAAGGTCAAACTTGTTCCAATGTGAGTGAAGTTCGTTCGTGATCTATATAGGATTTAAATATCCTCTCCTTTTATTTATATGTTGGGAGAGGAGCAGCAGAGAGCAGCAGCAGTCTTTGTATCTTGTCTCTACGAGATATCAGGTTCAGGAACGGCACTATACGAATGCTGGCTGTGCAACTCCCACTAATCTTAGACAATCTAACTGAGATTAGGATCTTTGTGCTTCACATCAGTCACATTACGCATTATTTGGCATCACATCACTCACAGCACAGGACATGGAAACATTCTTCCCACTGAAATAAGACAGGTGGTTATTTCTTTGATACTGGGTGTGCCTTAATCAGTTCATTTTTTCCTTACATATATGTTAAGTTCATAGGCGTGCGCAGCCTATTGCATTAGGGTGTGCACCCTAAAGCACAAGCACACGCCGCATATGTACATATATATATATACACATACACATATATACACACACACACTGCGGTGTGTGTGTGTGTGCTGTGAGGGTGCGGTTAGTGTGATGTGTGTGACGATGCTGGTAGTGTGCTATGTGGGTAAGGGTGTTTGTGTGTGCGCGCTTGTGAGGGTGCTGTTTGTGTGTGTTTGTTAGGGTCCTGTTTGTGTTTGTGAGGGTACTGTTAGTGTGCTGTGTGGGTGTGAGGGTGCTGTTTGTGTGCTGTGTGTAAAGGTGCTGTGTGTGTTTGTAAGGGTGCTGTATGTGTGTGGGTGATTGTGGGGGGGGGTACATTACTTGATATCCCCCCTCCCTTCTTACCTTTTGTAGGGAGGGGGGATCCTTGTTGCTTCTGCTTCCATCCCTGGTGGTCCAGTGGAGAGTGAACTCTAGCCACTGTGGGCAACGCTCATATCTTGCGAGAGGAACCCGGCAGAGCTGCCGGCAATAGCTCCCCGGGTCCTCTCCTGCCTCCCTCCCTGCATGTGGGTCAGTAGGGAGGGAGGCTGAGAGCAGAGCCGGCGCTCGGATAGCGCCGGCTCTGCATGAGCCGACAGGGGAGATCCTGAGATCTCCCTTGCCGGTCTCAATATACATAGGCATGCCGCGGGGTTAGGGTGTGCCCAGGCACAACAGTTCTCATTTAATTCCCTGGGTTAAGCACACCGGCCCTCCAGTGGCAATGGCTCAGCCTTTTCCAATTCAAAAAGTTCATAAAAAGTAACATCAAAGTGGAGCTGTAACTTCCCTGGAAAACACAGCTGAATGAAACAATGAAAATCACCCTACATCATTTTTTTTCAACCTCCATTTTCTTTTAAAATGTATATTAAAAGTTTAGCAAGTGACATCACAATTCAGATAACACCAGGCACCTAATGCAGACAAAAACAAACAAAACCGAAACATTGTTTCAGGCAATTCTCTCCCACAATCTATGTTCAATGGCAGAAAAAGCCATATTTATAACGATGGACAGGTTTTGGGTTATTTTTTTTTCTCTCCCTCTAAAGAAATTGCAATATTCATTTTGCTGGGTTCAATCAATTATAGACAGCTACTTAACAACTAAACGTTGGTCACGTAGCCAATAGGAAAACATTGAGTACAATATTTTCTGATAAGAAAGCTTGGATGATAACATCGGGTCCCCATTGCAGGGAGGTGTGACTTGGGTTCATAAACAAAGGGATTTAACTCCTAAATGGCAGAGGATTGAGCAGTGAGGCCGAAGGGGCATGTTCTATACACCAAAACTGCTTCATTAAGCTAAAGTTGTTCAGTTGACTATAGTGTCCCTTTAAGTCATCAGAAATAATCACCCCTAAATCCCTTTCCTCAGATGTTGAGGTTAGGACTATCAAATATTCTGTACTCTGCCCTTGGGTTTTTACGTCCAAGATGCATTATCTTGCTGCCAAAACTCTGACCATTTTTCTAGTTTACCTAAATCATTTGCCATTTGGCTTAACCTTCCTGGAACATCAACCCTGTTACATAGAATGTGACGGCAGATAAGAACCATTCGGCCCATCTAGTCTGCCCAATTTTCTAAATACTTTCATTAGTCCCTGGCCTTATCTTATAGTTAGGATAGCCTTATGCCTATCCCACGCATGCTTAAACTCCTTTACTGTGTTAACCTTCAGCTGAAAGGCTATTCCATGCATCCACTACCCTCTCAGTAAAGTAATATTCCTGATATTTTTAAACCTTTGTCCCTCTAATTTAAGACTATGTCCTCTTGTTGTGGTAGTTTTTCTTCTTTTAAATATAGTCTCCTCCTTGACTGTGTTGATTCCCTTTATACATTTAAATGATAGAAAGGTTATATATCTTAGTATCATCAGTAAAAAGACATACCTTACCATCAAGACCTTCTGCAATATCACTAATAAAAACATTAAAGAGAATGGGTCGAAGTACAGATCCCTGAGGTACCCCACTGGTAACTAGACCTTGCTTCGAATATACTCCGTTGACTACAAGCCTCTGTTGTCTGTCACTCAGCCACTTCCTTTGGAATCCAAACTTAAAGATTGCAGTTTATTGATGGGCCTTCTATGCGCAACAGTGTCAAAAGCCTTACTGAAATCTAGGTAAGCAATGTCTACTGCACCACCCTGATCTATTTAGTTACCCAATCAAATAAATTAATAAGATTAGTTTTATGCATATATTAACCTATTATAAATGATTGTATGTGCCTGTTTAGGAAGGCAAATACTACAAATTCACTGCTTTACGTTCTATGTTCTAATTTCTGATCTAAGACCTTGTGGCCTTTATTTTTCTTTTACAAAGTTTTTATTTTTATATCATTATTCCGAGCCCTTCTTAATTAAAAAATATAGTGGTATCAACAGTACAATTTAACAAAATAATCTATTAGAAGTATAAAGAACAGAATTTGAGAACTCTCAGAATGGGAAAAGCTTAGAGAGTTTAAAATGACACTATAGTCACTAAAACAACTTTAGCTTAATGAAACCGTTTGGTGTATAGATCATGCCCCTGCAGCCTCACTGCTCAATTATCTGCCATTTAAAAGTTAAATCGCATCGTTTATGCACCCTAGTCACAACTCCCTGCATGTGACTTGCACAGCTTTCCTAAAAACTTCCTGTAAAGAGTCATCTAATGTTTATCCTTCCTTAATTGCAAGTTCTCTTTAATTTAGATTTTCTTATCCCCTGCTATGTTAATAGCTTGCTAGACCCTGCACGAGCCTCCTGTGTGTAATTAAAGTCCAATTTACAGAGCAAGAGATAAAATTGCATAAGGTAAGTTACATATGATTGAAAGTGAAACCATTTTTATTGTTTCATGGAGGCTGTCTCAATAAGGTCTAGGGGAGGTGTGCTAGGGCTGCATAAACAGAAACAATGTCACTTAACTCCTAAATGGCAGGGAATTGAGCAGTGAAACCTGGGAAGCATGATCTATACACTAAAACTGCTTCATTAAGCGAAAAGTTGTTTAGGTGACTATAGTGTTCCTTTAAAGGGACAATCCAGTGCCAGGAAAACAATCAGTTTTCCTGGCACTGCAGGTTGACTCTCCCTCCCACCCCCGGTTGCTGAAGGGGTCAAAACCCCTTCAGTGACTTACCAGAGGCAGCGATGATGTCCCTCGCCGCTGCTTCTTGGTCCGCCCACGCTCCTCCCCGTCCCCATGTCATCCGGCGGGGGAGACAGATCCCGCTGGTGGGGGGGGGGGGAGACCTAATGCGCATGCGCGGCAATGCCGAGCATGCGCATTAGACCACTCCATAGGAGAGCATTGAAACATAGCGTGAGAACGTCCAACGACGCTATAGCACAGAAAATCTGTGCTATAATCCCGGTAGACAGCCACTAGAGGAGGAGTTAACCCTGCAAGGAAATTATTGCAGTTTATAAAAACTGCAATAATTACAGTTGCAGGGTTAAGGGTAGTGGGAGTTGGCACCCAGACCACTCCAATGGGCAGAAGTGGTCTGGGTGCCTGGAGTGTCCCTTTAAGTCTCAAATGTTTTTGCTCACTTGTACCATTGATACAGGAACCTATACTATTTGCATATTTATCCGATTCCACCATTAAGGGCAGTCCAGAACCGAAATGGCAGCAAGTTCTCTCTGCACAAGAGATACAGCACTCCTGGACAATCGTTTCTGCATTCTTTGGGCGTTGTCAGTGAGGTGTAGGGGATACCCGTCTAGGCACAGTGAGCATGGGATCCAAGTATGGATTACCCTTTTAGCTTATAGACCAAGCAAATACACTGCAGGCAAAATCGTAGAGAAACCCAATCCCCACTCGGTCTCTGTTATAAATTCGAATTCGAATAAAAAAGTTAATCTCCGCTAAAGGTTTTAAAAAAAAATGTTTGAGACCAGTAAAAATAAAATGAAACCACAAAACAAATCACACAGGACAATGCAGACAATGTGTATAAGAGTTTATTTAATCTCCAAGTACCTTTTTTTTTTTTTTATGTACAAGACAGCATCTGTGGAGTATTGGTAATAGATTGATTCAGAGTGGCTGCTGTGCTTTCAGATTTTGTTTTCTTCAACTTTTTTTTGTATTTATTTTTTATTTTTTTAAGAAAATGTACATATTTACAAAGAAATGAACCCTTTACAAAAATGTGTGAGATTGACAACAACAAAAATGAGTTCCCTGGATAAAAAGTTAAATCTTCCCATCCGGGTCCTATTGAACTACAATGGAGAAGGCACTCTGTGACATTATATGCAATAGAGACACAAAATAGTGACAAAAAAAAATTTCAATTCATTTGCTTCCCCCCCGAAAGACAGGACAAGTACCATAATCATAACGTGAACATATTTGCATGTGACTAATTTACTTTGGCTTATCTCTTGGTTTTAGGAACCTGTAATGAGAGGTATGATGTATTGGCAACTAATGAAGATTCTCAATACTGTAATTTGGCTAAGCAAGTATCTGTCACTCATTGAGGCTTTGCAATGTCCAGTATGGTAGTATGCCATAAATAAAATGTAAAAAGTAAGAAGCAAAACAAAATGCTGGATATGTACAGAGGAGAGAATGCAGCATGCTAAAAATGTGTTCATTGCTTCTGTCTGCCAGTAGTGTTTGCTTTTGAGAGCAGACCCCGCCTGTAAATCAAGTTCTCACTACAAATCCGTTTGCCCACCTTGATTTAGAAATGTTTTTTTTTTTCCTGAATGCACACTCAAAATGTAGGCATTTAAAATATATTTATAAAATAAAATTTAAAAAAAAATTGCGTTTACACGAAATCAATTATATTACACAATAAAATAAAAAGTGTCTGTACATTAAAACGAAAAAAAACAAAACTATTTAAAGGTGAATAACTTTACAAAATGCAGTTTCTTTTCTTTTACATGGTATCAAATGTCATTTAAGAGGATTTGCCAACAGTCAGTAACTTCAATAATTTCCAAAAAGGAAAAACAAACAGGTGAAATAATGAACACGTACATAAATAAAAATAGGAGTTATATATATATATATATACAGACATAAGTAATTTAACCTAAACGTAATAATCGATTTTCCATTTCTGAAGCAGCAATAGCCTTAGTGATCCGTGCTAGAGATTTTACAGACTACCAACAACCATTTCACTATATGAAAATCGCCAAAAATAAAAAATAGATTCTAACAAACAAAACAGTGGCAAGTAATTGTAAACATGCAATATATATATTATTTCTTATATTAGAAAACACAATATACAGAACATCTAATGAAGCAATTCTGATTCACAAATTATTTTTTCCCTAATTTCTGAAATAAAATCTTAAAATATTAGTTTTTCGAAAGAATAGCCAGCTTTTGGAGTACTGACTGTAAAGCAAAAGTAAAATTCTAATGGAGGGCTTTCTAATATGCAAAACAATACTTTATACTTTTTGCATTATTGCTGTGAAATGTCGAAATGTCTAAAAAATACATTTTGGACAATGGGTGCTGGGAATATTGGAGTATATATGCAGACACTGCCTATCCACTATATAAATAGCCAGGACAGTGCCTAGAGCAGCTGGCAAAAAACTCCTAGCCAGCACACTAAGCAAAGAACAATGTACCAAAATGCTCTCAAAAACAGAATCCAAGAACTTTGGATTTAGACATCTGGCCAATAGATCTATTATTTACTCAACTGGGAAGACGCAAAATAGATTTGTAGTTTTAATAATATGTCTCTAGTATTGAATTCAATGAAAGTACCGGTAATAACTTTCTAGTAACAACAATGTTTTTGGGATGTCAGGGTTAGTTATACTGAGTTTACAGGCACAGGTAGTGTCTGATATTATCACACTATGAATCAGATTAAAGCGTTTATCCAGCAATCCATGTGCCAGGTGCAATGGGTGGGAGTTTTATTTCTCATTTCTGTCATCCAAATACAACAGACCGTTTCCTTTTTGCTTCAGAAACACCTCTTGGCGTTATGTTGGGTATATGGAAGCTGCAGTTCAGCTCTTTGCCTCCAAAGCAAAAAGGTGTTCAAAACAACTCTGAAAGAGCCAGTTAGTTCGTTAGGAACGCAGCACTTATAATAGGCACCTAGCAGTAAATCCCTTACTACAAATGGTTATCTATTAAGGTGTATTTGACTATGTTTCATCTAAACCCCGTATGCAAGACAAAGTAGAGATAACCAAGAATAATAGTTACCCTAGTAATGAATTACACTTTCACGTACATCGGGCGACATTTGCCATGTGCAATGTGGTTATAGTCATTCAATTAAACATCCCACTAATGCAAGTCATGTTGAAGGATTTTTCAAGAGGGGACAATTCTGTATTTGCAGGATCGAACAAAAACCTAATTTATTACTTTTTAATTAAATTTAAAGGGACACTATAGTCACCAGAATAACTACAGCTTATTGAATTTGTTCTGGTGAGTAGAATCATTACCTTCAGGCTTTTTGCTGTAAACACTGTCTTTTCAGAGAAAAGGCAGTGTTTACATTACAGCCTAGTGATAACTTCACTGGCCACTCCTCAGATAGCTGTTAGAGATCCTTCCTGGGTCATGGCTGCCTAAAATGCATCCAAACATTCAGTATCTCCTCCCTCTACATGCAGACACTGAACTTTCCTCATAGAGATGAATTGATTCAATTCATCTCTATGAGGAGATGCTGATTGGCCAGAGCTGTATTTGAATTGTGCTGGCTCTGCCCCTGATCTGCCTCTTTGTCAGTCTCAGCCAATCCTATGGGGAAGCATTGTGATTGGATGAGGCTACCACTTCTGCTGATGTCAGCAGGCAGTGGGCAGGTCTAAAGGAAACAGTGACAAAGCATGCAGCTCCAGACTTGAATACAAGTAAGATTTTACAATATTTAGGGAGGCATGAGGGGAACAGGGTGGCTAGATGATGGTTTTAACCCTATAGGGTCAGGAATACATGTCTGTGTTCCTGACCCTATAGCGCTCCTTTAATTTCCTTAGTTTCAAAATACACAGGGGCAAGTCATCTGTTTGTATTTAAGTAGTGAAAAACTCTACGCCCACCTCCAAAGAAAATAACTGTAGCATAGTGCCACATATTATATATACACACAATTCTAGAAAGTAATTTAATTATAGCAATAATTGAGGGGAATGCATCCTGCACATGATGATTGTATAAAAATACATTTCATGTATTTCTCCAAAGAGCAATGTGACATTATATAGCAAACACTTATTCTGTAAAGGACTAAGCATGACCCACTGTTATTTCAGGGAACTTGTGGTTAATGAGAAGGAATATAGCTGAAAGAAAGTTAGCTTCAACTAACTGAAATATTGATTCATATATAAATAACTAATTGCAAGTGATGAACAAGTCCTTGGAGTGCCGTTTGTTTTCAAAGTGTATGCATGTATGTGTGTGTGTGTATATATATATATATATATATATATATATATATACACACATATATATATATATATATATATATACACACACACACACACATTAAACCAAGAGGCCAGCAATCACTGGAATATGTGCACATTATAGGGTGCTGGTGGGGCCTATTCATACAACATATAAGATTCAACGCACTCGCTCATTCACTAAACACAGTTTCAAATGTAATGGTTTTTTATTCTTTTTAAACAGGCAAAAATAATGGGGTTTAGTTACAGTATATGATCATAGACTGTATAAGCTTGTCACAACCCCATTTTTGGCAGGTCCTATTCTATAACCCTAATGCCTGCTCTTATGAGATTAATTCACTTACTTGGGAAATCCTCTCTACTAGGCTCTCTGCAAGTCAAGGTTAAATAGGGCCCTGGAATGAAGCACTTGCGACAGGGAGGGGTGCAACACCGGGATTAACTATTTAGTTAATGAGCGAGTGCGCTAGATCTTGTAAGAATATATTATGTGTGTACACGTGTATGTATATGTGTGTATATATATATATATATATATATATATATATATATATATATATATATATACACACACACACACACACAAAACTACATTTCGCAGTTTTACAGTCTGATCTAATTTTCAGCTGGTTTGTAGCAATCCAATAGATACAATAACAGTATATTTAATGTTCAGAAAATGCAATATTGCTACAAAAACATTACAGGAAAACAAAAAAAAAAATGATTTAAGAAGCAGCAACTCGAAACCTTTTCTGCATAAATTAAATTTGAATCCTGCGATACTTGTATTTTCTAAACACGATTTAAGAGTCAAATCAAAAGGTTTACACTACTTTTAGCAGATTAAAAACAGGGGGAGGTTGAGTGGAATCACATCCTTTATTTAAGAAGATCATTGTGTTTAAAAAAATAAATAAAAAAAATATTAAAAATAAAATTAAGAAAAATAATAAAAGTTTTGTTTGCCAAACTTTGACCATTAAAAACGAATGCTGCACTAGCTTCTGAAGACATGATAGCGGTCACTCACTACTTGCACTTTAACACCAGTCTACCTCCTTATGGCTAGCAGCTGCTACAATAACGCAGTCCATTACTAAAATATTTAGATGGAGTAGCCAACGCACTGCAGAGATTCCCCACAGCCATAATTTCGCCTATCATTGGGGTGTCAAACACTGCAAACACTGTCCTTGATGGCTGCAAGAAATGGGTCAGAATTAGTAAAGAATAGGTTGAGGATTTTTTTCTATTCCAAAGGCTGGCTTGTTCCATAGTTTTGTGTTTCCTCAAAATCTAGCAGCTGATGCCTGCATCTAAGCTTAGTGTGCAAAATTTATATTTTCTCGAGTAAAAAGTGTTTATCCAGGGAAAAAAAAAAAACACAAGTGGTGGATACAGAAAGGGAGGGGAAAAAAAATCTATACAATTGCATGAATTAAATAAATTACAGGTTGCAGAATGTATTTTTGACCTTACAGATAGCTGGCAAATGTGGCGTCTTCAGCACCGCAGAGCATTTAAATTTACATAAGAGCACTGATCTAGGAAATATCTTTCCATTTTATTACCATGTATCAAAAATAAGCAGATTTTTTTTATAAAGAAAGGTTCTGATACAATCTCTAGTTTAACTGTACACTGCTACATTACATTTACTAATCTGGAGAGACCGGCAGAATGCATGACTCCAAGCTGCAGCCTTTAAACATGGCTTGGCAGTCTGATAAAACCAAGCTTCCCAATAACGTACCACCAAATACATCAGCAAAGGATAGTAGGCCAGGGGGCCTCAGAACCCGCTCTTGTTTCTTTCATCTGTGTCATGATAAATCTTCCCTCCCGCAGCCGTTCCATTTAGCATGTCTTTCTTGTTTGGCACTTTTGCCAAAGAGAACTTTCCTAGTCAATCTTTTCCACTTTACCAATAATCTTTTCTTCATAAATGGGTAAAATTGTATCATCATCTCGCACCTCCTCGAACACAACTCCGCAATCAAATTCATCACTAACTTTCTTAAAATAATACCTGTAACGTGAGAGAGACAAGGGGTCAGGCTTCAAACGCTTTATTTTTCTTTAATACACGGTTTGCAGACATTAAAAAAAAAAAAAAAAATCAATTAGAATAGTAGCAATAATAGAATAGTGAAAATGTGAGATATATAGGACATTTGTGCCATACCATAATAAAAGTTAACAGAACACTCCAACCATTGCACTGCTGTAGTGCTTATGGTGCCATCCACAGTAATATTAGAAACTATTTTAGCATGGTTTACTTACCAGGGTCCTGTCGGTTGTCCGCACCACATCCACTTCATCTGCTCTTCACCAGCAGAAGCTACATTGCTCTACAGAACAAAGCAGGATCTTGCAAAACTTAATTCACAGTCTCTCTCAGCAAACGAGTGCAGTCCTGCATTAGCTGTGCTTTGTGCTACAGGGACATCCAGCTTCTCATTCGGAAGATCAGATGCAGCACAGTTACACAGGTAAATTGTCAAACGGGCTAAAACCAGTTATTACCAAGTTATGGTGATAGCACACTATTAGCACCATAATCACAACAGCAGGTTACAGCAATAATGGGGCTTGGAGTGTTCTTCTAAATTCGGCTGGCAATCAAGAAATAAACATTTAACTAAAAATAGTACTAATGACACTGAACTAGACTCAACCCCAAAACCCTTACATGTGTGTTCCTATGGGGTAAGCAGTGCACAGGGGGTATGCTTTGCCCATATGAATAAATGGGAAGTCAATGATCAGCTACATCCTGCTTGAAGTGGATATTGGGGGTCTGTAGCAGCACAATGACCAACTACAACTGTCAGAATATATGTGAATGTTACATGAATGCAGGTTACCTGTAATTCCCTTTCTTAGTCAGCAGCTCCTTGAATTGTCCCAGGGTCACTATGCGACCTTTAACCATTGTTCTGTAAGGTATTGGCTCACTACAGAAGTAGTAGGCCACCACAATGTTGTCACAGGGCTGGGAAGCACCAGTTCCAGTCTTCTTCTGTGGCTTTAACCTAGAAAGGAGAAGGAAACACCGGTGTGAACCGAGAGTAACTTCACAAAGCCTACGTTTGTTGTTAAAATGAGTTTATTTTATTCATTTTGATATGTTTTGACCATAATATTAATAAAAATTACTATATTACAATAAGTTAAAACAAAATTGTGATTCAGGCTCTCAAAACCACTGGCGCCACAGCAACCAGGTAAGTTGGTACCATATGCTTGGTGCCATAGCAAATAAACAGCACTGGCAGCAAAACGATCATAAGCTGAGACAGGAAACAGACGCACACCAATATATCAGAAGGTATTTTTAAAAAATTCAATATTGTGTTGCTTTCTGAGCATTTATTTACTTACTGTGGCATGACACATATGCCAATACACAACATAGGACTGCATCTACATAAAAAAAGTTTGTGAAGTTTAGTTGCGTTCCGTTAACTTGAAGCCATAACAAAAGTGGAATCATAATATGAAAAACTAGCTGGCTACAGACAAGTAGCCAGCTAATGCATAGATTAGCAGGGTTATTTACTTAAGTGAGAATTCAAAGTGTATCCAAACAGAAATTCAAATTTACAGGAATACTATAGACATCAAAACAACTTTAGCTTAATGAAGGCGTTTGGGTGTATAGATCATGCCCCTGCAGTCTCACTGCCCAACTGTCTGCCATTTTGAAGTTAAATCACTTCTGTTTCTGTTTCTGTTTATGCAGCCCTAGCCACATTTCCCCTGACAGTGACTGACACAGCCTCCATAAAAACAAAATGGTTTAAATTTTAATCAGATGGTAATTTGCGCAAAATAATGTGAGTTTTTAACTGTATTTAAAGGACCACTATAGTGCCAGGAAAACATACTCGTTTTCCTGGCACTATAGTGCCCTGATGGTGCCCCCACCCTCAGGGTCATCCTCCCGCCCGGCTCTGGAAGGGGGAAAGGGGTTAAAACTTCTCCTCCTCCGATCCTCCTCTTCTCCTCCCCGACGGCTGAATGCGCATGCGCGGCAGAAGCTGCGTGCGCATTCAGACGTCACATAGGAAAGCGTTATCAATGCTTTCCTATGGACGCTTGCGTGCTCTCACTGTGATTTTCACAGTGAGAAGCACGCAAACGCCTCTAGCAGCTGTCAATGAGACAGCCGCTAGAGGAAGGCTTAACCCATTCATAAACAAAGCAGTTTCTCTGAAACTGCTATATTTATGAAAAAATGGGTTAACCCTAGCTGGACCTGGCATCCAGATCACTTCATTAAGCTGAAGTGGTCTGGGTGCCTAGAGTGGTCCTTTAAGGGGAGCTAAAGAGTGTTTTCAGCACTATAGGCAGACTAGATGGGCCGAATGGTTCTTATCTGCCGTCACATTCTATGTTTCTATAGGGTCAGGAATTCACTATTGTTTTCCTGACCCAAAGAATTCCTTTAAATTTAAAATTCACTTTGACTTCAGCTTAAAGTCTCACTTTAGTGAATAACCTTGTTAAACACACTTACCTGAAGGTAGCTTCCTCCAGATAAAGCACAGTGTAATCAGCATCAGACAATTCATTGCGTGTGGGTGAACACTAGGAATTGTGGGTTGTCGCTGAATCAATTAAAGATGGGAAGGCCTCACTTTGCCAAATAAAGCAAAATATGGTGAACTTTACATAACCAAATAAACTCACGCATACGTGTGCTTGCTATGCGATGCGTACACAAAGATTTATTCTCTTTAAAGTGAAACCAAGTCACACTGAGCATTACAGGTGCATTTTAATCAATCCATGTCTCGTGAGTAAAACGAAAAACAGACAACAGAAATAATCTGTTTGTGTCTATGTGAAAGTGGACTAAGTTGATATTACTCTTTTCCTGTACTCCTGAGCAGTAATTGTTTAACTGTCATTTTCCAAGCATTAGTTTTGTCTTTGATAAGAGTACTATGGAACACGGCACAATAATTACACATGCGTATATTTGGCTAATTACGTCATGGCCAATACAACAATAACGCAATTTGAAAATGCAAAGCCAGGGCATTTCATACAAATGATTTACTTTTCAAACTGTGCCAGCAAACACTATTTGCCCACTTCTGTAAGTATCCATGCCTCCCGTATGGAGTCTATGTTTGAGTAAGGAATCCAGCAAAAAAGATTTTGCCTTTTTATATGTGTACATGAAATAACCGGTCCGTGCTTCTAAGAAAGTAGTTGTGAGGTCATAAGTTTGTTATATATCAGAGAAAGAGAGATAAACATAAGAGAACATGTAATAAACTACTTCTGTATGGAGAGTGTGTAGACCGCACAGAATAAAAACATGTTATTACACACACACTTGTTTCACACCACCCACACTTCACAAACGTGCACAGATGTAGCTACATATGGATCAAAATAAAACGAGAAAACAAAACAAACAAAAAGCTTTGAAGGTCAAAATAACGTGCAATTTCTAGAGAAAACTCACATCTAAGATCCAACTTTAACAAGGCTAAAACAAGACAAAACACAAGGAGTAACTGCTACTAGGGTGCAACATCTAAAGACAAGCGGACACATGAAAGAAGAGTGGCACATACTCTGTGAGGTCCATGTCGGAGACAGCTGGTACCACATTCAGCATGGGAATATAAGCTGGCCTGACAGAAGTACGGCCTCGCTGGATAACTTCTTGGACATACCTGCAGAACAACCTTACATATTAGAAAAGGTTCTGCACTCCTAACTTCCTGCCCAGGTGCAGCCATTTACATTAACACTTCAAAATACACATTGTTTATTGGCTTCACTTGTCACTGGGTTCTAATGATTGGAACGGTCCACTTCATGACTTCCTATTTACGCCAATAACAGTTACAGATGAAGATCCACCTTGACATTGTCCTCTAAGTGTAAAGGGGTGGGCTGTTTATCACGTCTTGTGTTTTAAGGAAGCAAAGCTTCAACAAGTGTTTATACTGCAGGAAACAACACTAAATGATCTACGTGTTACCATGTTATCTTGGAGTTCATGTGAAAAACAATCTACTGCACACTTCTGGATAAATCCAAAACGAAAAGCTTATAAATCCACATTTTTAGTTAGTCAATGAAATGGGAAAGACCCAAAGAGCATACAAATGTGTCAAAACTAGTGGGGAGTTTAAACAATCCCAATATACAAAAAGACACAAATATCTAAACTGCAAATTGATCTTTTCAATGATGAGTGTTAAAGGGACACGGCAAACCCCACAAATTAATAGTGATTATTGCTGTGTCTGTGGTCCAAGGTTTGTACCACAGCATTTAAAGTCCACCACGATTTCATAATACCATTACGGCCGAGGCAATCGGGCGTAGTAAAATCAATCTATTGCTCAGCGAGACCCAAGATGGAAACCAATGCCTTTTGTTGAGTATTTCTTTGACAAATTTTTTTTATTGAAACCCCCATTTCTGCTTAATTTAACATTTATTTCAGATTATGAAAGCCTACTTATATCTGTCCCCACACACACTGTATTCAATGTATCTGCATTCTATAAAGTAGAACCCTGTACAGCCAGTTCACAGATTGGACTCTGTATACAATGCTAAAGAGGAGATGCATTTACCAGTACATTTTTGCATGAGGAAAGGCACTGAACCATTTTACACAATGTGAAATTGGCCAGGTAAATTTGCAGTGAATCAGTTACCAATCTTAGCAAAACATGTCCCATACCAAACATACAAATAAATGGGTGTGGTAGATTTCTTCCATATTTGGTTGTTTTACAATAGTGTTCTGTTTTTGTCAACTTCTGTCCTTCAGCTTTTTAGGTACAGGATAAAATGAAAGAATCCATTATTCATTTAAATAATATCCTATGCACACAGGTAGTGTCTAAAACACATTTTCTTGTGCTTCTACCCTAAATGCTATGTATTGGATCCTATTCAAGAGTGGATAGAAAAATAAATGAAAAATCCAGACGCAGATAATCGTTGTACTTGAATGGTCATACAGAGCCACGGAAAGAGTAAGCAAAGAAAGAAAAAAAAAAATGTGGGAATAATTTTCAAGCATTTAAAAAAAAAAAAAATACTAATAATGTATGTATGTCCATAAATACACACACATTTACATACATTACAGGAATGGGAGATCCAACAAGGTGCTCATCACAACCAGACGCAGAATGGTCACATACCTTTGTTTCGGTGGTATCTTTCCAGTCCTTTTCTCCTCTTCCTCAAGCCTTCGGCGTGCTTCTTCCAGCTGCGTCAGTGGATTAGGTGCAGGATTGGGAGGCATGGTAGGGTCTTGGATGAAGGGATGAGAGGGCTGTACGACATTGCGGAGCTGAGCGCTAACCCGTTGGTGTACTGTACCGGGACGCTCAATGGAAATTGGTCTAGGCACATCATGAGACTGTGGCTTCTTGGCACCAGAAGAGCTGTGGTTAGACAAACACAGATTAAGCTCAGGATAAGCTGAAATCCTAGGATCACATAGTTAAAGCTTATGGCTACAGAGGATTCCTTCAATTCTGCAATAAAAGAAGACACTGAGGTAAATCGAGAGGTATTCCTGCCTACCTGTGAACGGTTTTCTTGTGTCGGCTAATCTCCTTCTCGCCCTCCATGATCCATTGCAGAATTTTCTGGTGTCTCTCTGCATCCTCTGGCACAGCTGGCATGTCATAGTTTGCACTCTCCATCCTGCCTGAATCTGCTTTCTTTGCATTCCTTTTGGCAAGCATACTTACTTTACCACTGGAAGACAAAGGACTAATCAGAACCAACACATTTACAAATTAATTTTCTTAGTTTACAATTCATTATTGAGTGTGTGTGTGTGTAAGAGAGAGAGGGAGAGATAGATGTATCTATATTCTGCAACTAGTAATGGACTGGGACATCTTAAAATGGAATAACTTTTCAAATATAAAGTGAAATATAAAACTATTAATATAAATATATATATGTTTGGCAACTTTACATCAAGGTCTTTAATTTAGGACCACTAATCTTGTAGGCAACGTTTTCCTTGAAAGAATCTGGTTAAATCCTTCTGACATTTTATAGTTTCCCAGAGTTCTGGCATAGATGAAAGCTGGATGTTTATTAATAGTGCAGAAATCATCTTTGAAATAAGCTGTAGTTTGTTAGAGAGATTCACAGTGTGAAATATATTTATTTGCTGTATGCAAAACAGGAACAATGAGAAAATGTTAACATACCTGTAGCCCAAAGAATCCATTGGATTGGGGGCCAAACCCATACTGTCTGCATAATTGCGTGATTTGGTTGCATAGTTTTGAGAGTCCACGTTCCATGCCAGGTTGCCTTGAACTCTTTGTGTGGCTTCAACTTCCATTGGGTCTTTAGGTTTCACCCCGCTGTGTGGATTGCCATGCGGATGAACATGGTGATAGACATACTTGTGAGGAAAGTTTGCAGTTTCTAATTTTGAGCCACACTTGGCCAAATGCTTGCTGTGACTGGTTTGCATTGTTCCCGTTGACCCAGGAAGGGCTTTGCTCAAGTGGCCACCATCTGGTGAGCGTGGCTTTGGGGAATGGCGACCAGGTCCTGGAGATTGGCAACCAGGAGTTTTCATGACGCGTTGCACGTGTTCGTCAAGGATAGATTCAGGATTTTCCTCATGAGCGTCTCGGACTTGCATTCCAACACAACCCATTTCAGAATAGCGAGAATTGAAATAATGCAATGGCTGGCTTGAAGGCAACTTGTGGCTAACCACCGAAGGTCCTGAAGAGACATCTGCATCATCCCCTTCTTCTTCCTTATAGGTATACAGTAAACGTACACTTTAGCCATGGAATGATCACATGGAAGACTTTAAAGAACACATAATATACAGCAATAACTTAACTGAGGTAATTTAACATGCACCCATATATAAAAATGGCAGTGAACACAATATATACAAAGACAAAAATATAATTCACAGGTATTTGAGAAGAACTTGTAAAACCAACCAGAGGGATCTGTGAAATATCCTGCATTCTCACAGGTATTTATGTTGTGTAATAGTTGGAAATACATAGAAAAATATTAAAAATTACAGGATAAGCAGTAAGCATAGCTTACGCCTCCCTGAAAAGTTGCAATTGTAAATCCTTTTAAAACAATGAATAGTGTTTGATTTTCAGAATGTTAAAAAAGGCAGTGACAACTATGCAGAATGGGAGTCGAGGTAAAACCTCTAAAAGCAAATTAACTGAAAATATGGCAGAAAATGATCGTAACAGTGTTTTTCTCCCCAAAAGGAGCCACAATGGTGTTCATTTGGATTATATGTATTTTTGTAGAACTCTTGTGTATGCGCCCCCAAGTACTCAAAAATTTCACCACTATGAGTCCAAAAAAAAGGGGGGGGGGTTTATCAAAAAAAGCGGCACTATCCAGAGCCATGATGAATAAATGACTGAAGACTTACAGCTCGAACGCGTTTGAGTCTCTCTTCTAATTTCTGCTCAGCTTCCCGGTCTCTCAGGACTTCCTCCAAGCGGCTTATTAGCTCAGCAGCAAATTTCTCAGGATCGACGTGGATATCCTTTGGCATGTGATGTGTACGCTGTAGAATAATTAAAAGGGAGATGCTAAAATTAGCTGCTAGAAGTCAAAATCCAACCATAAAAAAACCTATTCGTTAAATACCGTTGTGTAATTAGGATTCAGAAAATAAGGTCATGTGATCAGGCAGCACTGCCATTTTCTGAATTTATCCAGCAGACTCATCAGTATGCCAAGTATAGAAGGGAAAGGTGTTCTTGCAGCAGACGCTCTTGCCTTTTACACATTATTTTCCAACTAGAACCCTCCTTTAAATCATATTTAAAAATGTAAAAAGGCAAAAAAGTGAACCCCCTTCTGTTGCAGTACAGCTTCCTTTATTTGGGGTGTTACTGTATTTTAACTGTTAAAATGGCTTGTCCTTTGTTACTTACAGGAATGTGAGGTAGTGGCACATGTCCATTTGCTTTGGCACTTTCTTGCATCTCCCTGCGATGATGCTTCCGGAGTCTATAAGGGGGGATCCCATCACTGAAAGAAAAACAAATTGATTTAGAGAAGAAATTACAAACAACTGTAGCTTACTGGTAAATCCAAAAGAAGCAGACACTGCAAACAAAAGCTGCAGCAATTCCCTGGAAATAAGATGTGGAGAAAATATATCCCCCAGCTGTAAGATATCTACAACCCGGCAAAATATCAGGAGAGGTAATACTTCAACAGCTTGCGGATACATTTTGCCCAAGCCTCCATTACAACCTCTATTGAAAAATGTAGGATTGTTCAATGGACATGGGTATACATTTTATGCAAAAAAAAATAAATATATATATATATACATACATACATACACACACACACACACACTGCATAGTTTAGCCTAATTGTAAGGGCTACACAAAGATTGATAATTCATATTAAAAAAAACCCCCAGAAAAAAAACAAACGATAGTGTCTGAGATTGCTCTCCTGGTTTCCCAAAATAATAATAATGGTGGAAACTCTGCAAATGCATGCCTGATGTCATGTGTGTGCTATTTGCAATGTGTTTTCATAGCACTACATGTAAAGCTGATACATGCTACCACCGACTTCCAAATGTGTGGATTATGAAACATGCATGAACAGAGGCCATGGATTCCTACAATATAACGCAGCACATGGGCAAACTGTATTATTAATCATATCCTTTAATGTCTGTTCCACTGCCGAAAGCAGCCCAGCATGCATACAGAGCAAGTTATTTTATTATTCAATTTAAGACACAAAGCATTAAAGCTGTCAAGGTTCCAACAGTATTTGCAAAACATTTGCAGTTTAATAAAGTGTGCCAAAAACAAAGTGTAAAGCATGAAGCTGTTGATTAATACATGAAGCACTGCACTTACACACTGCTGTCTGTTAATGACATAGTGTCTGCATCGCTTGACATGCTCTGCTGCTCGCTGTCATTGGCACTAGTGGCAGGTGCCACGGCATACCCAGTATTGACATAGTAAGGGTTCACTGGCTCTCTCCATGTCCCAGGCCTATGAAGAAAAAATAAACAGATGTTAGAGATGATATGAGAATAAAACATACTAAGCTAAAAGGCAGCCAGGGCTGTAATCATGGAAAGCTGTCTCGAATCATTCCATGTACTTTACAGTATGGGCCACCAGCTTCCGTTCATTAAAGGAACACTATAGTCACCTAAATTACTTTAGCTTAATAAAGCAGTTTTAGTGTATAGATCATTCCCCTGCAATTTCACTGCGCAATTCACTGTCATTTAGGAGTTAAATAACTTTGTTTCTGTTTATGCAGCCCTAGCCACACCTCCCCTGGCTATGATTGACAGAGCCTGCATGAAAAATAAAAATAAAACTGGTTTCACTTTCAAACAGACGTAATTTACCTTAAATAATTGTATCGCAATCTCTAAATTTAACTTTAATCACATACAGAAGGCTCTTGCAGGGTCTAGCAAGCTATTAACTTAGCAGGGGATAAGAAAATCTTAATTAAACCGAACTTGCAATAAAGAAAGCCTAAATAGGGCTCTCTTTACAGGAAGTGTTTATGGAAGGCTGTGCCAGTCACATGCAGGGAGGTGTGACTTGGGTTCATAAACAAAGGGATTTATTCCTAAATGGTAGATGACTGAGCAGTGAGGCTGCAGGGGCATGTTCTATACACCAAAACTGCTTCATTAAGCTAAAGTTGTCCAGGTGACTATAGTGTCCCTTTAAATTGATTAAAAAGATAAGTGAAAGGGGCAGTTACCATACTGGCTTTAAATTCAGATAAAGAAAGTCAAGTGAAAACTAGCTCATATGGAATACAAATTGTAAAATTGCTGGAAAAAGCAAGCAGCCAAACCATCGTGGATATAGTGCATGCAAAGAAACAGCTTAAATAAATACATGAACATTTTATATTTTTACAAATTGCTCAATTAAACCAATACTGTCACTGCACCATATGACATTTACTCCATATTGCAAATACTTACCTTCTACATTCCCCATGAAATGTTACAACAACCTTTGCCTAGCAGCTTAGACAATATAGTTATTTGAAAAATATAGTCTAATAATTGGACCAGACCAGTGCAAAACTGATCATCATAAGTAATAAGGCCACCAGACAAGTGACTTATGTTGCATAAGATGGCAAGTTTACATTTTAAAGTAATTTAAAGAAGAAAAATAAAATGGCATAACATTAAATCTGAACAAGCTGTCCAAGGTCTTAGTAATGTAATGGCATTTTTGTTATTCTCGACAGAAATGTAATGTCTGAATTTAGTTTGCAAAGTGAAAGCTAATCATTATTGATGGACAAACTAATACAAAAACTTCATTATAAGGATTAATGTCCTAGTAAGCTTGGCTTGTTTTACATGGAATGTCAAGGTCGGGCACCCATAAATTACTTACTGGCATTATTTGGCAAATTAAGATCACTGCTGAGGGATCTGTTGGCACTACAAGGCACACAAAAAACCATTTAAAATATAAAAAACTTTGGAATTTAAAGAGGCCTTTTAGAGAAGATTATTCATTATTATAAAATAGTGTATTTTGGAATAACTGAATAAGCAGCTTTGCTGTGTACACTATTTATAGGAACCATTACGCTTTGTAAGTATAGCCTGTGTTAAAGTTTATTAAAAAGATACTATGTTTAGAGCTAGACCATATGTATTACCACTTATCCCCAACATGCTATGTGGTTCAAAACGTTCCAGTGGACAGTTTGTTGTTTGGCAGATGCCACAGACAAGCCTATGTCGTGGTGAGCTTTACATTAATCCACCTCAGAACATAATAGCTGCAATATTACTGAAATACCATTATTACACAAACACTAATCTTTAGCGCAACTAGGTGGCGCTGTAACAGTACAATTATGCTTACTGCTCTATAAAATGATACACATACCCTTTTGCTAAATCACACTCAAAAAGTGATCTTTTATTTGTATCAGGTTGCCAATATATGTATGGGGGATACATATACACACATATTAGCAACCTGACACACTATCCCTACCTGTATCTTAATTCAGTTATTTGAATCAGGACCTAGCTTGATTGCAGATGGTAAAGCATGTAGTACTAAAACCATGTGAGTGAAGATTACAGTAAAAATTACTGTCCCTTCCACACATACAAAAATAATAGCCTGTGTCCACAATTACAATGTCAAACACCAATCCAATTTTCAAAAGAACTTTCTAGGACTTCTATTTACAAATTCCATATATTTAACAAATGTATTTGAGAGGCCTGAAAAATTAAATTTAAAAATCAACACTGCTCTACCCTTGACTGACACAGATTGTGATTTAAACTGCTAAATCATTTATACATTTAAAAGAAAAAGCATCGTACAAAAAGTTAACATAAGTTATTGGTGGTTTTAAAAAGTGTCATTTTCATAGAAGTCATGGCTTCCTGTTAAAGTGACACTAAAGCATTAGGAATACAAACTTGAATTCCTAAGACTTTAGAGTCCCTGTCCCTACTCAGAAAGGGTATTCTTACCCATTTCTTGTGCCAATGCTCCCTCTGTGAGGCTTACGTCTCCACCATCCTTTCTGTCCAATCCCATGCTCCTTAAATAGGAGCATTCGGGACTTGATGCGCATGCACATCCAGCTTTGCCATAGGGAAGCACTGAATCTCATGACCGGGTTTTGTTTAGTCAGTGCAGTGGAAACTCATATGGCTGCCAGTGAGACAATCACTTGTGGTGCATCTAACTACCATGTTAACATTGCAGGTGACATAGCTCAGTTGGTAAATGCCTTGACTACAGAGCGTGTTCAAACTGCAAGGTCACAGGTTTAAATCCCAGGCTGAGTCCTTCATCCTTTCCAAGGTTGATAAAAGAGTACCATGGGTAATAATAACCTCTATTATTCAGCTGCAGATTTGGTTATTTCCCAACTTTGAGTCCAACTGTGAGAAATGCGCTACATGAATACTAGTTCTTATTTAAAAATCTGCAATGTTTTACATTGCAGGGTTAAAATTAAAGGACCACTGCACCCAGACCACTTCACTGAGAAGAAGTGGTACTCAAATCAACACTATGCAATGCCTACTGTGCAAATTGCCATGAGCTCTGAATTTTTACTAGCCATTGGCAAGTGAAAATTCAGCCCCAGTGAGTAGAAATTCTGCCCTAATGAGTGTGCTATATATATACTCTGCAGACTTACAGCGGTGATTACGTTTTATGCCTTTCTAATAGCGCAAGACTTGAAATTAAGAGCGCCTGATAAAAAGAATTGAGACATTTTAAAAAGATTTATTCAACACTTAAAGGAACTGCAGATCAACATGCTGCTAAGTCATTTCATAAAGAAATTTTATTCTAAAGAAAGTGTGAGCAGAATACAAAGGCAGTTTTTGTATTTTTCAAATTACTTTCTTCCTGAATTGTAGAGGGGGAAAAAAGACCAACAAGCAGAGCTGCTTTGTCAAACAGTTTCCCTGATAATGGTAATAAAGTTCACAGCAAAAATACTCTACTATAAAAAGACTGATTTTTTCCTATCCTGGGGAGGGGAGGGGAGGGTGAAAGAGTATGCTTTATAAAGACTATAAAGCAGTAAATCATGAGCAAAATGCCACTACAAAGTGAGAGACAAAGCAAAGTGATAAAAACAGTTCAAAGCAATGTAGTTTGTGGAATAAGATCAAACAGGCCATAAATGACACAGGATGATAAGGTAAAGCATTTGGTTTTCCCCCTGCTGAGAACTGCAATGAAACAGATAAATGCTTAGCAATTATACAAGGGACAGCAAATAAACATTAATGTCTGAAGGTGCCAGTTACCCTAAATAACCTTTGGAAAGTGCAAGGACTGACATGCATATCCTATGCTGCTATTCCCAGCATTTTGGAGCCACAAGAAGTATCAAACCCACAAAGGAAAAATATATCCCATATAGAACGTAAGGTTTGAGCAGGAAACTCAAACCCCTCTGTTACTTTGCGTCAAACTCGTCTTGCTGCAAGTACCTGTCTGTAAGGCCACCTATTGTACAGCTCTACGGAATTTGTTGGCGCTTTATAAATAATTCTAATTAGGCACCTGCTTAGAGGGGCTTGGCTGTCCTGTGTGGGATATATAAAAAGCATAGGTATAGGTAGTTTGGCTGATCACTAATTTCCTAATGAATAAAATGTTAAAATGTATAATCCTGTCCTCTCTGTATAAACAATTCAGTCAAAATACAGTTCAGCCAATGCCAATAAAAATGTCTAAAGTTGTACAAAACTGGCATTACTAACGCTGATGTATAATCTTGACTAACACATATCAGGGCAAAACTGAAGGACACCCAGAGCCACAAACATTAAACCATGTGACAGCTTAAATGGACACTCATTTCCTAAAGTGCTTTATTTATTCATAGTTCTAAAGAACCAACTTATTCCATAGTGCTGTACATTTAATGTAGAACATACAATATACACAGACAAATACAAAAGGTAAACGGGTCTTCCCTGTGAAGTGAGATCTAGCCATTGAAGCCCTTTTATACAAAGTGCCTGGTTAGACAGCCAGCGATGTTACAGTCTAAAGCATGGGTCGTCAACCTGGTCCCTACCGCCCACTAGTGGGCGTTTCAGGATTCCAGGTAGGCGGTAGGGATTTCGGCGGCTAAAGATTGAGAGAGTGGGTGGCAGGGCCGGACTGACAGCCCTAATGATTATTCTGATAAATCCTCCCCTCGGACTGTGCCAGCCTGTCAGTCTGAGGGGAGGGAGGAGTAGTTAGGGGCCGGTGTGGCTGCCAGCGGCTGCAGGGAGACCTGTCAGTCTCCCTGCACAGTCTGAAATAATTCCGGCTGCATGCCCCGCCCCCAAACGGAAGTTCCGCCTCCCACCCACAAGCTCCGCCCCTACGCACGTTACTGCCCCTCTACCCACTCCACAGCCCCCTTACCCACTATAGAGCCCCCCCTACCCACTATACGCCGCCCCACCCCACATCCCCCCCACCCACTATAGAGCCGCCCTACCCACTATACAGCCCCCTACCCACCATACATCAGCCTTACTTTTGTACATTGCCCTTAGGAAAGTAAAAGAAAGCATAAAAAAGGAGATAAAAAGGAAAAGATCAAAAATAGAAAAAAAAGTGAAGAAAAATAGAAAAAAAGGGATAAAATAAAGGAGAGTACTTGTAAAAAAGGAGAACGAAGGAGCAGAGTACTTGTAGCATTGGAGAAAGAAGGAGCAGAGTACTTGTAGCATTGGAGAAAGAAGGAGCAGAGTACTTGTAAAAAAAAAAAAGGGAAAAGAAAAAGAAAAAGGAGAGAATTGTTGTTGGCTAATAATAATAATAATAATAATAATAATAAGTGGGCTACCTAGCTCAGCCTTCCTGCTGGGCATTGCTATAACGAAGGTTAAAAAATAGGAAAAAGGGGGGAAAAAAAAGGTGGGGAGGGGAATTGGGGAGGAGCTGATGCACAGATGAGAACTCATATTATGAGCAAACAGGGAAATTGTCTGAATATCACCGAAAGAGGAGACCTTCGTTTGTTCCTTACGAAAATCGAAGCAGATATCAAATATTTAGTCTCGCAGCATCAACCTTAAGGATCTCATTAATCACTAGTAAACGTAATTTCAATTTACTTTGTTTTCTCATTAAACTTTATAAAGTTAAAAACATTATAAACATGCATAAAGTAGAAATAAAAAGACAAATGTACGTACATTTTTATTTTTTTAAACACCCTCCTTTCTAAAAAATATTCTGCACTTGCGCGAAAACTGGTGGGCGGTAAGGAACTTTTCCCATCAAGAAAGCTGCATTAGTGGGCTTTAGGTAGAAAAGGGTTGACTACCCCTGGTCTAAAGGATAAAATGGGGATATGAGACATGATGCTATTTTGAAGTGATGGCTAGAGCAAATTAACGGAGAGTTGAGCTACTGGTAACATGTAGAGGGCACAAGAGTGTCATTGAGCAAGATCTCAGACAACTGGAGGAACATGCTATAAATTTAGTAGGAACCTAGGTGAGTGAGAGGATGGTCTTTTTGTAATTAAATTTGGCACTTGGATAAATTAACAAAGTGTGCAAATTAGTTGCTGTGTAAAGTGCGCTTACAGGTACAATTAGGTAAAAAAAAAAAATAAAAGCAGCTACACATTCTAGTGGGTGCTCTCTTACCCCCACTAAGTATAACATACAACCAGAGTGAATTTAGTGTAGTCTGGATATAATATCTAGGTTATACTGTTTAAATGAGTGGAGCGCTATAAATTAGCCCTGGTACACCTCCTGGCTGTCAATTAGACAACAGTTCCTGTTACTTCCTTGTTTGGTTAACTGAGAGAAGCTAAACTGAAAAGGCAGCAATTGCCCAGAGCACCTGCCTTGCAAAGACTTCTCATTGAGCTGCATTGGGAAGCCTGTGATTGGACAGCCACAGAAAATGTGGGCAGGGTAGAGCTTGCAAAGACAGAAGACATGAGATTTGGAACTTTGGCAACCGGTTTTTATATGCAAGCCCAATTAATAAATGCATTCATGTTTTATTGTATTTTTGTAATTGGGCAATGGTGTTTCTTTACTATAAGACATCTGGCACCATAACCACCATAGCTACTACAGCATTCTACGGTGGTTGAGTGCCCCATTATTTTATAGACTTAATAGTTTTACTAGCCAGAGTATAATTACTTAAATACTACTTTAAGCTGATGATTATTTCTTAAGGTCTGCAGGTGAATTCTAAGCAGATGTATAGAAAGATATACACACACACAGTCTAGTGAATGGGATGTCTGTAGCTGTCTGTAATGATACATTGTATCTGCAGCCTTCACGTTGGTTTTCTTTACGGCTAGACTCACGGCGTTGTGAAACGGCTTAATCTATTCATTTACTGGTTTTTCAACTAGTTCAATGTTTTGGCAAAATATTCTCTATGAAGCTAAATCTCAAGTCTGGCACAATTTAAAAAAAAAATAAAAATGATATGTACTTTTTATAGCAACAGACATGTTTTGCATTATAAAAAGTAAAAGCAGTGAGCGCTGGAGTGGATATAAAGATACATTATATACATAGAGGAGGATGTTTTTTCTTCAAGGTAAGTTAGGATGGTTAACATCAGTTGAAAAAGCTCAGCAATAGTTAACTTTGTAAAATTTACTGAGTGCAGAAATGCTGTATATAAAGGGGGAAACTTCTCTTCATTGGCGCATTACTTGACTTTTGAAGCAGAGATCAAAAACAGCTTAGCAGCAAAGTCTATAAAAATAAAATCCTTTAGCAGCTGTTCTTGAGATGGTGTATTACCGTAACTAGACCTGATGTTGATCCCCCCACCCCGAAAAAAATGATTGTGACATTCCACTGTTTTCCTCACACCAGGTCACCATAGCAATCAAAACGGCTGCTCTCAGCCAGCCTGGAGAAAGAACGGACACATCTTTACACAAACAGAGCCACATACGTAAACATCAGTAAGAAAGAGCCAATCTCTGAATTATAATTCCCAAAATTACAATTTTCCACAACTATACCAATTTACAGCTACACTTCTATAATGTATGTAACTGGAGGGGCATTCAAATACTTTACTTGCAACCATTAGCCACGTACAACCACTATAAGGTGACTTCAAAAACACGGCGAGTCCATGGATAAGGTTCATGAGAGTTGGGATATTTTATTACCTCAAACGTAAAGTGGCACAGTCATTCATAGAGTCTCTTTCCACTATTTCTTTATTTTATGTTTTTTACTTATACGTAACAAAATAAGGACAGCTTGTAATCATGGGGAGCGTGATCTTTGGCAATAGGCAGCGCTTAAGCAAAGTTCCATTCAAGTTGCTAAGCTAGTTTTCACACAAGCCATTAGTCCACAGATTCCCACTAAAAAAAAAAGCACACTTCATGGATAGAAGAGAACAAAATGGAGGCTCTCAGGTTTTAAGATGAAGTGCTAAGAAAAACCATAACATTTAAATAAAAAGGCAAACGACAAGGAAAGGATTATAAATCATGATAGAAGGAGCATAAGGAAAAATGAAAGAAAAAAAACAAAACACATGACTGCCACTTTAAGGTGTTTTTGTGAAATTTGTTCTAAAAGAATGGGTCGCTAAGCTCATTTTCCAATTAAAGAAAGGGTCGCCAAGCATCTGGGACACTGACCCGAAAGGGTTAAAGACACATGCTTTAGAAAGAAGGGAAAAATACATGATGCAACTAGGCAGTAAACAGATTCATTTGCAGATATTTAGCTTTAAGCCTTTACTACAAAGTTGTGTTAGGATGCCAATACTGCAAAGAACTCAGGAAATCATTAATCCAATCCTGACTGATGCCTATATCATACTAACACGAATCTGAGGGAAGCATCTCAGGTGCCTATTGGAAGCAAAGTGAATGGGAAATAATTGAGTGCATGATTGTTAGGGTTGCATAAATACGGTTAAGTGCTGCCCACGCGGGAGGCCTTTAGAAGTGTTTATTCTGTCAGGTTGCTCAAAAAGGTTGACTAGAAGATAAGAAAGCCCCACAGAGAACCGCTCAGAGGTCTGCCCCCCCAAGTTCATTTCTCCCCTTCCCAGCAGCAGCCATTAGTCACACTGTGAATGTCAAATGTGTGAACACATACTGGAATATCTGAGATGGAAATTTGGGGTAGGGAGAGGAAAAAAAAAAATAGACTGGTATTCCAGCAGTATGTAAAATAAATGTGACAGTAACAAAATCACAAAATAGAATATCAGATTGAAAAAGGTTACATTACCAAAAAAACAAAAAAAACCTACATACATTTAGCAAAAGGGTTCATATATAAACACACAAAATATATATATATATATATATATATATATAAAAAAAAACAAAAAACTTGACAGCACAATTAGTATCAATAATACAAATCAAAATACATGTATATTAAGACAGAGGGTAACGTAGCTCTAAATCCTGTACTGTTAAATGCACAGACAAATATATATATTTTATTATTATATTCTTTAGACTAAGTTCTTTTGAGCAGATCCCTCACCACCTTCTGTTCCTGAACATCCATCAATCAGGTATTGTTGCAAATATTAGTCCACCTTATGTATAGCTTTGCAGAATATGCTGGTGCTTTATAAATCAAAGTAATAAAGTGGATAATCTGAGCACCAAAACAACTTTAGCTTTGTTGAAGAGAGTGTTCTCTTCTTTTGACAATAAGTACAGATTTCAATAGAAATTGGCACTTTTATAAATTAACTTGGTTACACCATCCTGGCCATCAGTCAGACAACCGATCCTGTTGCTTCCTGGTTGTTTAGTTCAGTGAAGCTAAACTCAAGAGGCAGCAATTCCACAAAGCACTTGTCTTGCAAAGATGTCTCACTGAGCTGCATTGGGAAGTCTGTGATTGGACAGCTACAGAAAGTCTGGGCAGAGTTATAAGGGGAGGGATTACAAAGGCTGCAGACAAGATATCTGCAGCTTTTACAAGCTGTTTATATATAATTAGATATTGTTTCATTGTGGAGTATATCTAATACACTTTCGGTGTTCTTGTTTCCTGCTTTAAAGGACCACTATAGGCACCCAGACCACTTCAGCTCAATGAAGTGGTCTGGGTGCCAGGTCCATCTAAGATAAACCCTGCCTGCTGTAAACATAGCAGTTTCCAAGAAACTGCTATGCTTACATATCGGTTAATCCAGCCTCTAGTGGCTGTCTCATGGCTGTCCTTATGTGATTTTCACAGTGAGAATACGCCAGTGTCCATAGGAAAGCATGAATGCGCGCGTGGCCGATGACCGAAGGAGGAGGAGAGTCCCCAGCGCCGAGGGAGCCCGGCGCTGGAGAAAGGTGAGTGGTTAACCCTCCGCCTTCAGCCTGGCGGGAGTGGGACCTTTTTAATCACACACAGGATGTTCCTGCAGGCTCCAGCAGGCTATTAACAGAACAGGAGAAGTTAAAATATTAGATCTCACTTTCAGGAATGGAAATACTGTGTAGGTCACATGCAAGGGAGGTGCGTCTAGGGATGAATAAACAAAGCGATTTAACTCCTAAATTGCAGAGTATCAAGCAGACTGCAGGGGCATGATCTATACATAAAAACCACTCAAGCTAAAAGTTGTTTTGGTGCTCAGAGTGTCCCTACAAGCCTGTCAGTCATATAACTGTCTAATATTTTGGAAATCACAGAGAGAGAAAAAAAACAACTATAACAAACATGTTCCAACATAGATAAAGTTCCCAAGAGTGTTATAGCTATTGAAATCACTGTATACAAAGTAAAACACTTACCAATAAGCTTAAAGTCTGGCTAGGCAAGTCACAAGAACCTATACTTGCCCATATCGGATGGCATGCTTATTTTTATATACATTTGATGGTAAGGTGCCCATTTGTCTCTCTTCCTACATTTAAGTAGGCTATGTAATTATGTGACATTTGAAGTGCTCCATATTTTATTAATATATTCATTTAAATTAGTCCACGCGCTACTCTGATGAATTTGAAAGCAGCTTTATAAAGACAGCATAGAATCAGAAATAAAACAGATCTTTAATGCACAGAGTAAACAGGGGGCACAAGGCTTGTTCGATGGCGTCTAGCCAAATGGAAAATCAGCAAGTTGGGATTTCAGCAGGTACGGTTTCCAGGAAAATCAGGTCAGCTGATTGTTTAAACACGATTTCCACAGTATCGACAGCTTCAAAGATTTACTCAAAAGTGAAAACAAGCTGGGAGTTTTTTTCCATAATGATTGAAATTTTCCAATTTGTGCAGGGAACTGCAATAATTACAACGGAATAGGAAAGCTCTGCTAATGTCTGAGTTGACTCTCCAAAACTGTTACAGGACATGAAATTCAACATATATAACCAATTGATTGATCCACTGACACATCACTAAAATAAAACGATAGGTGGCTGATTTGACGCACTGAATTGGCAGGAACAAAGTAACAACGGGATGTGAAATCACAATTATCTGAACTATAGATTGGTAAACATTTGTATCAGACAATGTCAAAAAGATGAACAAATTGCTCATTTGTAATATGCAGGAAAGCTATTTACTTCTGTTTTGGATCCTTTTTATTTTGTTTTAGGGGATGACATGTGGTACAGCCAGATCTTCCCTAATTGGACCATGCAGTTGGTGATCTCTGCATCATAAAAATTAAAAAGGACGCTTCTTACAGTTTGCTGATCGGGACACAAGAGAAGAGCCACAGGCTGCGCAGTGTAGGATAGACAAGATAGTTTTATTGTGGAATGCAGAAACAAGGATACAATGTTTTGGCCCTTAGGCTGTAATGATGTATGGATCCAACTGGCAAACTGGATCACTGGCCAGACCAAAAGGATGGTAAATAGCTACCTGAACACCATGTAGTATGGATTCCAGATAGCATTTGTGGGAATAGGAGATTTCCTATGTCTTCAAAACAAAGATATATATACACGTGTTCCTAAGGAACACTGTCTAAATGCTTCTGTTCGAGGAGTGTTTAATAAGGAGCCTTCCGAAAAGCAAAATTTCCCCCACTATTTACCATCTTATTGGTCTGGCCAGTGATCCAGTTTGCCAGTTTTTCCAACTGGCAAACTGGATCACTGGCCAGACCAATAAGATGGTAAATAGCTACCTGGACACCATGTAGTATGGATTCCAGATAGCATTTGTGGGAATTGGAGATTTCCGATGTCTTCAAAACAAAGATATATATATACACACGTGTTCCTAAGGAACACTGTCTAAATGCTTCTGTTCGAGTGTTTAATAAGGAGCCTTCCGAAAAGCAAAATTTTCCCCACCACAGCTAAAGTATCTGCACCAGTATTGCTTAATACAGAGCAAAACTAGCCAAATAATGCAAGCTGCACTATAATGGCAGAGCGGGCAACAACTGCAGGTAGTTGGCAGCTTACAATCAGCCATTTAAACTTTCGAGACCTGAGAGGGACTGCCATGAAACAATATATGCAACATATTGCTCACTCCTGAGGAACTATAAGAGTTAACGTGTTTAGAGTCATTAAAGGAAATAAAGCCGAAAGCTTGCTGCATAGAGAAACATTCCTCATGGAGAGTTGCGGAGGTTGGCTTACATTTTTTCCATTAATAAATGGAAGAAGAAGAAAAGAAAAACATAAGGTGACGACTGAATTCTCAAGCACCTGTTATTTCTTGTTATAAAAAGACATGCACATTTAATGTTGCTCTCAAACATACTTTCTATGCTTTGGTGTAAAACACATCTTGCTGTGACTTTGTAGACTGATTTTTACCTTTTGCAATAGCCAAGTTGGGGGAATTGACCACACAAACACTTGCATAGAATACAACAACATTTAGCTGGAACACTCATCTGAATTTATAGCGGATTGTGCAATGCTAAATTCAGCAGAAATATAACTGAATAATGTTATACAAAAATACACTGTTATACCATCCATCTAAGCCTGGTGGACTCCAGGTAAAAGTTAAACATGCTAAAAAAAACAAAAAAAAAAACAAAACAAAAAAAAACCAGAACGCTCAGCCTGTTACTGATAGAAATCCGTGCTGAGAACTAGTAGGTCATAAGAAAGCACAACTCGATCTAATTGTAATTTGAGGGCTTTGGTTTAATGCAGGGGAAATGTTGGGTAAACCGCATAACTGATGTGGGATCTGGTGCCGTAGACCCAGGTACCATAATCACTCCAAGTGATGTGGTTATGGAGCCCTGTATCTCTATACAGGGGTACTCTAAGCATCATAACCATGACAGCCCATTGCAGTGGTTAAGATGAGGACTACCATGCGTGTTGCCTGGTAATAAGTCCAGTCAGGCGTTGGGTCTACTCTAAAACAAGGGTAACATCATTGAGCTTTAGAAGAACTGCAGAAGCCGGATACCGATTCTGCCACTGATTAATTGGCTGAGATCTTCAGCTGATCACTCGCAGCCAATGACTGAGGGACTATGTATAGCTATAAACACAGAATTCTTGTTCCGGACTGGATATGGACAACCCAATGACTATACCGTAAGGGAAGAAAACCTCTGGAAGCAGATTAAACTCAGTATGTGAAGCATTTCAAATGCACAATTTGACTACAGGCGCCATGACCTCTACAAATCACTGAAGTGGTCATGGAGCTTGGAGTAATTCTTTAAGCAATACTTCCCTCTTCTCCAGTGAGGTCTGTAAAAGCGATATATAAGATGAGGTGATGTTAAAAAATTTTTTTTTATAACAGTGGTTAGTAAATAGAAGCAAAACTTATTATGAATGTACTAGTTGGCACACGAAATGCATGAGAAGATTTGAAACTTGGCCCAGACTGTGGAACGAACGCATCACAGTTTAGCTTTTTTTGTCTGGGTAATAGTAAATACATTGTTAAACACAGGTCTGCACACACCAAACAAGCCATAAGACTTGTTACTACTGCAAGGGATTATGGGTGGGCATATTCAACAAAGAACCACCTTTTTGCCTCATTTATTCCATTTTATACATTGATTCCTTGCAGCATATATCTGCTGTATACAACCGCTTTTAAGCGCAACTCAGGAAGAGGATCAAAACCAGATAACCACTCAAGGACAGCTGTTTCGTTAGTAATGCAACTCATCAGCATGAGGCTTGTTTGGGTAATATATTTACTTTAGGCTAGGGATGGGCATATGGTAAATCCCCACATGTTGTAGAGCAGGGGTCCCTAAAAGGTAGCTCCCCAGAAGTTGTAGAACCACAACTCCCATGATTCTTTGCATCCCTTTAAAATGGCAAAACATCATGGAAGCTGTAGTTTTAAAACATCTGGGGACCTACCTTTTGAGCACCCCTGTTGTAGAATGTCAAGTTCCTAGCGCTTTGTCATTCTATAGGCAGCAAGCGGATATTTCATTTTCCTGCACCTTAAGGTTGCTCCCAGCAAAATGAGCACTTCGGCACTATGACCACTTAAAATCACTGGAGTCTCGCTGTGCAGTGTTTTGAAATGAAAACGCTGCGAATACAGAGTTTAAGCCTTCTATTGCCAGTCCTCTAACTCAACATCTAGCAGCGTCATTATCCAGCCCAGAATAAGAGATACAGAAAGACTAATACTCATTCTATGCATAATGGACGTCTGATGTTAACACGCATAGCATGTATAGTATCCTCCCCCACCTCACACCCCTGGCAGCTAAGAGTAGTGTTTGGCTTGGCTGAGAACTTTGTATGAGCTCTGGAATGGAGGTACGCGAGATTATATATTATTATTGTTATATTAAACTTTGACTGTGGAAACCATCATTGGAAGGGTTACTCTAAACAAATCCAGTGTTTTCTTAATAAACTGGTTTATGATTGGAGTAACCATTTAAGCATCTCACCACCATATAGACAATGTTGTAGATAAAACCTGGACTACACTCCTTAGATTAGGGGCCTCTCACCCACCCGCATCTGCACTCACCGGGTTACACCAAACTCAAGGCCACAGAGCCACCACCGCCCTGACAACCCGTACTGCTCACCTGACAGATCCCTTACACGATGCGATTAAACCCTGGAAACGAACATAACCCACACACCGGCATGGATGAATAACTGCCTGACCTGCCACCCATACACCTACACATTCCTCATTGACCATCCGTAAACACCCACCATAGGACCACCTCACCAGTGACAAATATATGCCTGCTAACACTATACCCTAAACCCCAGGTCACCTGGTTGCCCTATGTGACTGACAACCCTGATGAAAAAAAAATAAAAAAAAAATAAAAAATGTCCAATACGTATAGCAGATGCAAACTTCACGTCTCACTACGTGAGAAACACTAGCTTTCATCACTCTAAACCAACACCATACAAGATGTAATGCTGTCATGTTAACGCATATGTTATACTATGTTTGATTACCTGACTGCGCCTGTTGTTGTGGCAGCGCAGTCACGATTGTTTACCTTATGCACTAATAAAATAAATAATTTTTTTTTAAAACAAAAAACCCCACCAAAAAAACAGGACTACAAAATCATTTAGCACTTGCCTAAAAAACTATTATGATACCATAGCAAATAAACACAGATATACCAAAGTGAATTTGAGAATAAGTAACATATTACAATTACTGGGAAATTCTAACGATAATTAAACGCAGGAGATAAGGTAGCAATTAAAAGATTACAAGGTGGGAAACCAAACATTTTTTTATATATGGTACTTTATAGATTGAATATAACATTTATTTCCCTTGTGAAAGGAAAGAAAAACAAATGCTCACTTTTACAGAAGCAGTCGCTAAACCTACAGTATATACTCGAGTATAAGTCTAGTTTTTCAGCACATTTTTTGTGCTTAAAAACCCCCACTCGACTTATACTCGAGTCACTGTCTGTATTATAGCAACTTAGAGAGCCGCGGCCGTCAGAGTCATGGCAACGATCCGCGCGGCAACCAGACCGCAAGACTTACAGTGGAGCTGACCGGAACGGAGGAGAAGGGAGCTGACAGGAGCTACAGGAAAGGTAAGTAAATGCTTCCTGCCGGCCCCCCCCACTTCACAGCCCATGCCACTGGACCACCAGGGATTAAGATAGCCCCCCTCCCTGACCAGTTAACAAGCAGGGAGGGGGGGGGGACAAAAAAAAAATTTAAATAAAAAAATAATATTAAAATAAATTTTTTTTTTAAATAATAAAAATGCCCTCCCCCCACCCAGTTCACACACACTACACAAACACACTCTGCATTATATACACACTCTGCATTATATACACAGAGTGTGTGTATATAATGCAGAGTGTGTGTTTGTATGAGTGTGTGTGTGTGTAATGCAGAGTGTGTGTTTGTATAAGTGTGTGTTTGTATAAGTGTGTGTATATAATGCAGAGTGTGTGTTTGTATGAGTGTGTGTGTGTATATAATTATAAAAATCACAGAATTTCATAGCCCCAAGTTTTACCCTCGACTTATCCACGAGGCATAGCATATTTCACAATTGTTGGTCACAAAACTGCACTCGACTTATACATGAGATCGACTTATACACGAGTATATACGGTAAATGTTATAATCCAGGCTGGCTGTTTCACTTTTAGAAATTTATGAAGAAACACTCCAACCACCATAAAAATCCAGGAATCTTCTATATGTAATGGTGCAAGGGCTTCTCGGCCCCCATTCACTATGCTGCTTACAGATAAAACTATTTGATAATGGGATACTGATAAATGTTCCTCTTCTCCAAACAAAGCATAATACAAAGAGGTCATCTCCCCCCAAGAGAAAGGGCCTCGCTCAATCAGAATTTGGAACCTAAACGACACAACGGAGGACCGGGAACCGTTCACCGCAGCTCAGTGGAAGGCAATGCTTGCCAAGCTCTACACAAATATTGCAGGGGACATGGCCCACTTTAAGAAAGCCTTGGAGGGCACAACTACAAAGATCGCCCAGTTGGAGGCCTCGCACACCACTCATGGCCACGCACAACTCCAGCAGCCAAAGTTGTGGGCCAAAAGAAGAGTAGATGCCTTGGAGGATCCATGAAGACGGTACAACCTAAAGATTAGAGGCATACTTGAATCGCTGGGGATCGCAGACATACCTTGCGTTCTCTGGCAATTATTCACAGCCTTCTTACCACTTAACCCCTTAAGGACCAAACTTCTGGGATAAAAGGGAATCATGACATGTCACGTGTCCTTAAGGGGTTAAACACACCAAAGCATTAAAACTAGACGGCATGTTTTGCATACCTAAACCAGTAGGTGCGCCGCCCACTGCAGCTCCAGACCTCAATGTCCAGTTCCAATCACTACAACACAAGGCCCTACACACTCCAGGCGGCTCTAAAGGGGAAGACCCTAATCTCGTTTGAGGAATCCACTTTGCTGCTCACTGACCTATCGCCGGTCCTTGAGACCTTTATTACAGATACTGCAGGTAAGAAAAATTCCGTATCATTGGGGGTTAGCACGAGCCCTCTTAGTTTTTAGCTCTATTCATTCTTTAACACTGGCACACCAGTCAGGTCAATTTGTTCATATGTTAACGCACTATTTAGCTAATGCTCATGATTGTGACCCAGTCACCCTTATCATTTGTGTTGGTTGACAGCCATGTTCAATTCCTATGCACATTTAGTTTGTTGTCGTCCCCCACTTTTTTTGTTAGTGAAGAAAGACCACGGTTATGTTACACTACACTCATACATTTGGATAATGCATTTCAATGGTATTTTTTTTAAACTGATCTCTATGGGCATTGGAGGTAACTAAAAAAAACACAATTTGTTTAAAAATACATAGGGATTAAGGAGAGAGCGCAGGTAACTTGTTTTTCTTTGGTTTTTACTATATATTGGGGCTGATCTGTACTGTAGTCACAGCTGCCGCCCAGTGATGGGAGTGAGCGCAGGACTTGTCTTTCTGCATTTGATCTCTATCATGTGTTTTCATTTTACTAAACAAATAAAAAAAAGTACAGCTTAACTTGACTACAAGTCTTGTTATCATATATTTTATTACATGTCGTTGTTAAAGGACCACTATAGGCACCCAGACCACTTCAGCTTAATGCTGAAGTTAACCCTTTTTTAAAATTTTATAAACATAGCAGTTTCATAGAAACTGCTATGTTTATAAATGGGTTTATAACCCATAATCCCTTGCAGTAGTTTATAAATGGGTTAATCCAGCCTCCAATGGCGGTCTCTTGACAGCCGCTAGAGGCTCTTGTGTGTTTCTCACTGTGAAAATCACAGTGAGAAGACGCCAGCGTCCATAGGAAAGCATTGTGAATGCCGTGCATGCGCATTCAGCGGAAGAAGAGAGCTCCCCGCCCGGCGCTGGAGAAAGAGGTAAGTTTAACCCCTTCCTCGCCATCCAGCCCGGCGGGAGGGGGCACTATAGTGCCAGGAAAACAAGTATGTTTTCCTGGCACTATAGTGGTCCTTCCAGCTTATGTTTAACACTGAACAACCAAAAAAAAAAAAAAAAAAAGTTTAAATACATGTAAAAAAAAATTATTATTATTTTTATTTTTTTAAACGTCATCTCCAGTCTGGGGTTGTCCATTGAAAAATTAAATGAAGGGGGAAAAAAGCAACAAAAAAACTCATCAATTTGGGGCACATGAAAATAACAAGAGATGTCTCCTAAAGTTTAACATTGATTTTACCCGCAGTAAATTATTGCTAAAGAAAATATGCAATGAATTTGTATGAATCTTTAGTTACAGGACAAAGAAATAACATACACAGCATGTACAATTATATGAATATATGTAAGAGAGCCAGACTTCTCCTCCCACTTGTTCCTGTTTATGCTACTCTTGCTCTCTAGCCAATCACGAGGGGTGTAGTATGTCGTCTGCACTTACTCCCACGTGTACCCTGAATTCACCATTGACCAAGTACATTCAGACATCGTACTATTTCATAGACATAATACAATGTTCCCTCAAGACTGAGTAATCCATCCTCAATACATTCTCATAATAACATGGGAACTGGCAAAGTCAGAAGGCAAGACTTTGATAAGAGGTGACAGCAAAGCTTTTAAAAAGGAATATAGTCTTTTATTTAACGTAGGGTATAAAACTTACTTTATCTTGTAAATAAAAAGTTTTCAGTAAACGTATATGAGTTTAAGATACTTGATTTACTATTTCTGCCACCTTAAAGTTTGCCAGAGCTCCCTGGCACGGTTCCTAGTATGTGAAATTGTGCTACAATCCCTAAAACTGGCCAAAACCATAGACCCCAAAGGAGCACTGATTTTAAAACAGGCCCCATCAACGCTTTGAAAGCCAGACACAATGCTCTGGATACTGAGGAGTTTACATCACACATACCTGAATTCAAGAGAGTCGCTCAACCTTCTGGTGGGTGCTATACAATGTGATGCAGCTTCTAGAATGAGCCTCTTGTTAATCCTGGTTGAAGAAGAGTCTCGCTCTCCTTCATCTGCAATGCCTGGATCACACTTCCACTCCTCATCTTCATTCAGGGTAGGCAAATATCCAGAAGGACCTTTACCCGTCCCAGATCCCGAGCTGTGGTCACTATAAATCTTAGGACTCTCTCCATCTACAGTAGTGTATTCTAAATATATGTCTGATTTAAGGAATATAGGGTAAGTGTTGTCCTCCATCATTGACTGAATTTCTGTTTGGGCCTGGTCAAACATTACTGAGTCTATCTGTTGCCTCAAGACACAATCTTTTATGAAGCTTTTAGTTGCTGGTTTGATTTGCCGTGACACAATGCCATTGCTGTCAAGAATGTATTTCTTATAGATCGCCTTTGCCAGTTTTAGCCTCTTTTCCACTTTGGAGTCACTGGGTTCCAGCTTTCTAAAGCCACTGCAAGCAAACCAGAAATCAAGAAGATCTGCACAATTTTCTTGCTGCAAAAAAGTTCTGAACAAGTTAATTCCATCCTGATCATCCAGCAGAGAGTGCAAGGATTCTGCCCACTTTAAATATGGAGGCGTAGGCGAAGCACTGCCTTCCGGCTCATAGCCCAAATCAAGGTCCGACCGCCTTGGAGTGGCCGTGGAGGTCTCATTTTTGATGCCATCACTTTTTGCTGAGTAGTAACTGTGACTGAACGGTTTAGGGTCTGCTGTAATCAGTTCCCCTTCCTCGCCAGGAACAGGTGGTCTTGGTGCGTCTTCAGTAAAGCTTCCCCCCAAGTCCAAAGGGAAACCTTTCCCCTGGACACTCATTTTGATGGTGTCCGCTTACACAGTGATAATTAATCCTCCAATTTATTATCTCTGCATTGTTTAAAGAAGGTGCTGGATAAAAGTTTGCTACCTGTAAGATAAAAAAAAAAGTATATTAATTAACATTCCATTTTACATACCAACTCTGCAAGTTGTTAAACTACGATAAAACCATTACATGCACCTTTTTAAAATACCATTTTAATTTGTAGTAATACAAAACATCCTTGCATCAAACATTTACAGAATGTACAACACATTCATTGCTTACTACAAAAACAGAGCAGAAACATTAATGGATACCTGTGAGGATTTTAATCAAAAACTATTTGTAGAAATCAAGTTAAAAACCTTTCCAAACCAAAAGACCCATCCTATGTGACAGTTCAGAATATAAACATGAAATTTACTTTTTATAGTCCAGTAAAGAAGACAGCTGAAATAAAAGGAACCAAAGAAACACATAAAAGGACAAAGGCATGTACATGCCTGAAACAAGTATAAAGACATTTCCATCTAGCCTTAAACTATCCCTGTTCACAGACAACTAAAAAAAACGAAGCCTTTTTAAGCAATAGCAAATTTATACACTTGCACCTGTAAATGCTTTAATGCCTTGACCAACAACATCTCACTGTCTGCATGCCTGCCACAGCAGCCTGTGCCTCCTTAACATGGCACATTCTGCCAGGTTACAAAAAACATGTTTGCAAGCTTGTCAGCTACTGAAATGCTTTACATATTACATGACTTCGTAACCCTATTGAACACAAGCTGATAAATGTGTTGAGAGGTCCAACAGATACAGCCATAACATGATGAGTATGTGGGACTCATCCTTTAGAGTTTAAAATAAAATATTTAAAACGTTTCCCCAAAATAGGACCATCCTTTGGATAGTCTGAAAATGTTTAATTTCTCTATGTCATCTGCTCGACTTCTGTTAAGAAAAGTTAGATTTACATGAACATGGGTGTCTAGGGACTTGTAAATATCAGGATTTTTCACCCCCTGGTCTATAGTTATCATTTACCACTTGCTGTGTTTACTCTCCACTAGGGGGGAGTTTCCCTTAAAAATTCAAAGATGGAATTCAAAAGGTTTTGCTGGGTCCTATTTGGTTTTTTTTAACATCTTTTTCAAATGGAAAAAGCCTTATGGATTTAATTCACTCTAAAATAGGTTTTAAAAAAAGATGGCTACCAGCTTTTGTCGGTTTGTGTCAGAGTTCTCACAGCTTGATAGGTTGTTTTTAATGAAATCTCACAAGATCACAAGGAAATATTTTCGCTTCTGGTGTACATGATGTTTATTAAATCAACAAACAAAACATTAAACAGATGCTATGCTCACAGTAAAGTGTTATACTATTAGCAATATTTTCAGCTATTCCTCATAAGTCAGCTATGTATTGACAAACTACCATTCCCACCAACCTACAACACACTGCACTACAGTTGGGGGGGGGGTGGGGGACGGAATAGAAACTAGTTCCCGGCACATATTACAAACAAAATGTAACTCCTTCATGACAAAGTGTGAGGCAAACCTCTTTCTGACAGTCCTGGCAGATCAGTCAAGTAAGGTTAAGGTTTGGGAGCTGGGGCACAGTTCATTCAACCATTAATGGAATAAAAGTGATTATTCGTGGAACTGACAAAACTCTTATAAAACCATCTAAAAACAGGTGGACAATGCCCCAAAACAGGATACAAAGCAATGGATGTTGAAACCAAGGGATTCCGCTGGAAATATAAGGATTCTTATTGCTTTAACAAAAAAATGTAAAAAAAATTAATGGAGCCATACTCTGTTCTAGGGGAGAAACACCAAAGTCTTGCAGAATGCCAAGTTCACTTAGCTGCCCTATTAACTATAAGCAAGTGGATTCCTTTTGGCGAGCAGTATTTTTAGATCAGCAAAGGAGAGGGGAAAAAAAATAAAAAAACACATCACAAAGCCAGATACGCAAAGCGCTTCCATTCATCTACAAAGATTTATTGCTATGTTGCTCAGTAAAAAAAAGGAACACCGGTTACAATCAAAATGTTCTCTTGCGCCAATAAAGCAATCAGTACTTTGAACTACAATAAACTTGTAAGAGAATAAGATAATAGAGTGATAAAATACTTTCTTGCTCCATGAAGATATTCAAACAACCAGATCAAACGCGTCGCTTAGTTATTACACGAATCAGCCAGATATTTAAAAATTTATCAAAAAGCCCGTACATTTACGACTTATTCAAAAATAAATTCTAACGTCACCACACACACGTACTCTGAGGACTGTAAGGAAATAAATTTCAAGAGATGAACGTTTTCAACATGGATATTTTAAAAGATACAGCTACAACATCAATGTACGTTTCTGGTATAATCCATCCACTTGGACACAAAGTAGGTTGGAAATCTACTGTTCTACGTAAACATTCTTACAAAATGCAAAAAATATATATATTTTTTCAGTTGTCACTTATTATATAAAATTATTACAAAATCTATTTTGCACCTGATCAACATTGCTGAAAATAATAACAAAACTCAAGGATTACAAAGCAAAGGGGTAGAGAATTTAGGAAATGTTGACACAGAAAGCAAAACATAAATAGGGACTGGGAAGCAATGCACTTGTAGATGTCAAGATAAGGCAGAGTGGACCCCAGGGGTGGTTCTCCAATAAGTCCTGGCTATCAATGCAATGTGCACAGACTGCTCCGCTAAAGCTCTCCTTTTCCCTTGGTATAGAGATGCAGATCATGGGATTTGAGACTTGCAAATCAAGTTCATCCAGTATTCTGTTTAATGGATATGCTCCATTTAGACATACAATGAGCATCGAGCTGCCAATAACAAAATTTCTAAATTCTCAACGGCTAGAGGTCTGCAGCCACATTCACAATTGACACTTGTACCCTTAGATATACCTCCAGTCTCCCTGCCACACCCACGTGCCTTATAAGTTTTCCCTGTACATACACACACATATATATATATATAAATAAATTTTAAAAACACGTTACATATTTATATAAACAAAAATATCCAGTCTCCCCTTGCACATATATAAACAGTCCATATATATATATAGCCACAGCCCCCTGCATTTTTATGAAAAAAACCTCCACAGCCCCATGAACTTTTAGACATACGTCCAGTCTCCCTATGTGCATTTATAAGCAACCCAGTCCTTATAAATACCTCCAACCCCCTTGTGTACACACACACACGTCCCCACAACTCAACGCATGCACCAATATAAATTCTCTCTCAGCCCCAATTTACCTAAACAACCTTACTGCACCTTCCGTACCTGTATAGATACCCTCACAGCCCCCTGTACCTGTATAGATAACCTCACAGCCCCCCCTGCACCTGTATAGATAACCTCACAGCCCCCCCTGCTCCTGTATAGATACCCTCAAAAGCCCCCTGCACCTGTATAGATACCCTCGAGAGCCCCCTGCACCTGTATAGATACCCTCAAAAGCCCCCATCCCTTTATTAAAGCCCCATATAAATATCCTCACTGTCCCTCTGCCTTTATTAAAGCCCCCCTGTAGCTATATAAATACCTTTACTGCCCCCTTCCTTAATTAAACCCCCCCTGTAGCTATATAAATACCCTTACTGCCCACTTTCTTTATTAAAGCCCCCTGTAGCTATATAAGTACCCTCACTGCCCCCTCTACATGTATAAATACCCTCAGTGGACCCCTCTACCTGTATAAATACCCTTATTGCCCCCTCTACCTGTATAAATACCCTCAGAGGACACCCATTCCTGTATAAATACCCACACTGCCCCCTGTATCTATTTAAATAACCTCACTGCCCCTTCCTTTATTAAACCCCCCTGTACCTATATAAATACCCTCACTGCCACCTCTACCTGTATAAATACCCTCAGAGGGCCCCTCTATCTATATAAATACCCTCACTGCCCCCCTTCCTTTATTAAAGCCCCCTCTACCTGTATAAATACCCTCCCTGCCTCCCTTCCTTTATTAAAGCCCCCTCTACCCGTATAAATACCCTCCCTGTCCCCCTTACCCCCAGAACCCCCTCTACCTGTATAAATACCCTCCCTGCCCCCCTTCCTCTATTAAAGCCCTCTCTACCTGTATAAATACCCTCCCTGCCCCCTTCCTCTATTAAAGCCCTCTCTACCTGTATAAATACCCACCCTGCCCCCTTCCTCTAATAAAGCCCTCTCTACCGTATAAATACCCTCCCTGCCCCCCTTCCTTTATTAAAGCCCCCTCTACCTGTATAAATACCCTCACTGCCCCCTTCCTTTTATTAAAGCCCCCTCTATCTGAATACCCACCCTGTCCCTTTCTCTATTAAAGCCCTCTCTACCTGTATAAATACCCTCCCCCCCCCCCTTCCTTTATTAAAGCCCCCTCTACCTGTATAAATACCCTCCCTGCCCCCCTTCCTTTATTAAAGCCCCCTCTACCTGTATAAATACCCTCCCTGCCTCCCTTCCTTTATTAAAGCCCCCTCTACCTGTATAAATACCCTCCCTGCCTCCCTTCCTTTATTAAAGCCCCCTCTACCCGTATAAATACCCTCCCTGTCCCCCTTACCCCCAGAACCCCCTCTACCTGTATAAATACCCTCCCTGCCCCCCTTCCTCTATTAAAGCCCCTCTGTATAAACCCTCCTGCCCCCCTTCTTTATTAAAGCCCCCTCTGCCTGTCAATACCCTCCTGCCCCCTGCCCCAGAGCCCCCTCCTACCTGTATAAATACCCTCCTGCCTCCCCTTCCTTTATTAAAGCCCCTCTACCTGTATAAATACCCTCCTGCCCCCCTTACCCCCAGAGCCCCCCTCTGCCTGTATAAATGCCCTCCTTGCCCACCCCAGGCCCCCTCTACCTGTATAAATACCCTCCTGCCCCCTTACCCCAGAGCCCCCTCTACCTGTATCCAATACCCTCCTGACCGCCTTGCCCCCAGGCCCCTCTACCTGTATAAATACCCTCCTGCCCACTTACCCCAGAGCCCCCTCTGCCTGTATAAAATGCCCTCCCACACCCCCCAAGGCCCCCCTCTGCCTGTATAAATGCCCTCCCTGCCCCCCTTACCCCAGAGCCCCCTCTACCTGTATCAATACCCTCCTGAGCCCTGCCCCAGAACCCCCTCTGCCTGTATCAACCTCCTGACCCCTTGCCTAGGCCCCTCTACCTGTATCAATACCCTCCCTGTTGCTGCCCCAAGGCCCCCTCTACCTGTATAAATACCCTCCCTGCCCCCACTTACCCCCAGAGCCCCTCTACCTGTATAAATGCACCCTCCCTGCCCCTTACCTTACCCCCAGAGCCCCCTCTACCTGTATCAATACCCTCCCTGCCCCCCTTACCCCCAGAGCCCCCTGAGTTTGCAGCCAGGCCTGCTCATTATATAACCCAGGGTACCCATAGCAGAGCCCCCTGTTAGTGCCTGTGGCCCCAGCCTGGGCATTGTGGCAGCTCCGAGGCCTGGCATCCCTCTCCAGCCTGGAAAGTTTCCTCCCAGAAGGATGACCCTGGGGGGCCCTGCCGCCCCCCCACCCGGAGCAGCTCACCTCGGACACAGCCCGGCTCTCCTCCCGGGCCCTCCGCTCCCCAGAGCCCCATCAAGCCTCCCGCGGCAGGCGGTGTGCGGGCAGAGCGGGGGCAGCGCGGTGCGGGCTCCGCTTGGCAGCCATGCCCCGGTCAGCGCCGCTCGGGATCTGCCAGGCTCTGTGTGTGAGGAGAGTGAGCGGCCCGTGCGTGCGCGTCCCCGGCAGCCGAGCGTGCCTGCGTGCGTGCGTGCGTCCGTACAGCGGGGACTGGGGGCGGCGGGGTGGGGGGGGAGGCGGGGACTGAGAAGGCGCGCGACCCTTCCCGCCATGAGCGCGCGCGCTGCCTCTAGCCTGAAACTCAGTAAACTGAACGCTCTGCTGTTGGGACTACGGGGGAGGGTTTGGGACAAAATACCTAACATGCAAACTTAAAAACACATAAACAAATAATAAAATATATATATTATTATATGAGAATAAATTATCTAAACTAACTGTTTTACCAGCTCAGTTAGTCTGGTATAAAATGTGCCACCATCCCCTTGTCATTTCTCCTCAATAAACTGTTTAATAAATAAAATCCTATTTAAACCATGTAAATAAATGGCAGATTCCCACAGAGCACCATTATCAGACTCAGATGGTCAGTGTGGGGGGAAATAACTAATAAATTAAACCAGAACCACTCCACGTTCCCTCATTAAACACAATCTAACTTATTATTAGGGTGGATAATGCCCTATAGATCAGTAAAAAAAAAAGCACAAATCTTCGCAGAACACCATTAAAACCCCACAAATCTCCTGGTGCGCCCCGCCGCAGCGGGGACATGCCGTACGGGCCCACAGCACTCAATGTATAGTGCTATATACGGATATAAGGTTAAATTAATTTACATTAAAGGGACACTATAGTCACCTGAACAACTTTAGCTTAATGAAGCAGTTTTGGTGTATAGCACATGCCCCTGCAGCCTCACTGCTCAATCCTCTGCCATTTAGGAGTTAAATCCCTTTGTTTATGAACCCTAGTCACACCTCCCTGCATGTGACTTGCACAGCCTTCCATAAACACTTCCTGTAAAGAGAGCCCTATTTAGGCTTTCTTTATTGCAAGTTCTGTTTAATTAAGATTTTCTTATCCCCTGCTATGTTAATAGCTTGCTAGACCCTGCAAGAGCCTCCTGTATGTGATTAAAGTTCAATTTAGAGATTGAGATACAATTATTTAAGGTAAATTACATCTGTTTGAAAGTGAAATCATTTTTTTTTTCATGCAGGCTCTGTCAATCATAGCCAGGGGAGGTGTGGCTAGGGCTGCATAAACAGAAACAAAGTGATTTAACTCCTAAATGGCAGTGAATTGAGCAGTGAAATTGCAGGGGAATGAGCTATACACTAAAACTGCTTTATTTAGTTAAAGTAATTTAGGTGACTATAGTGTTCCTTTAAATGTACTGTCTATATCAGTACTGCAAGTCACATAATATAACTATAGCTAAGATTTTTCTTTTTTTTTTTATTGAGCAGATTCTATAGCTAATAAATGTGTGTTTATTCTCAAAATTCTAAGTTGTAGCGATTTGAAATCTAAATCGCAAAACTGAGGCTAAAATATCCAAGCAGTGACTATGCATGCGCGAAAGTACAACACTGACGTGAATTCCTAGAAGATGAAGCTCCAGGAACTGACGAGGATTTAACAAATGCAGATTGCGGTGGCCGCAAGGGACAGCTTCAGGTAATTCAAATCTATCTTAACATGCACCCGGGCCACAGCCACCGCACACCAAGCGACAAAGTCACCATCAGGGGTCTTTGCAAAATATGCAATGAGCCAAAAATGTGATAGAGCGACTTCAAATCAAATCAGACAATTTGGTGAATGTTTCCAGTTAGCATGTTTCGTAGATTTAGTCTCTAAACTCCAAACATTGCCAAAATAAAATTTGAATTTCAACACTCACCGAGTCAAAAGTAGCCCATGTGAAGAAATGTCAAAAGCTGCACAGTCTGGCTATCTAATCTTCAACTTTGCAGTTTAGATTTTAATTATCTGCAATTATGTACAATTTACAGGTTCTCAATATTCACATTTCACTAAATAACCATGTCTGTTTGACACTAAGTAACATATACGTTTCTTAATTGTTTAAACTCAATGACATGAGCATTATTAAAAGTTATTAAATACAATATGACATTTCTTCTCAAATAAATTAACTGCATTTAAAATAAAAGATTAGCAGTAATAGCAATTAAATAGATATTTAGTCACATTTATGACATGCCAGTTTATCATAATACCCAGGTTTTGACAGGTTCTACCCTGATAATTTTTGTTAACATAGTTAACTAATCGTCATATAATAAGAAACTCATATGATTCTGGTGTGTGAATAGAGTGATTCATCTGTAGGTTATGATTTTCTTTCAATTTCAATTTATAGTTTCCTTCTACACCAGTAACAAGGTCAGGGTGGGGTGTTAGCTGGAATAAGTACTGATAATCTAATTTTTTTAGAAATGGCTTAACACACCTCTAGTGGCTGTATTCCTGACAACCACTAGAGGTGCTTCAAACTTGGTTATTCAATCAAATGCTTCTCGTAGATGGCATTTGATAGGCACCGCGCATGCACACCAATCTCCCAAAGTTTCTCTATGGGAAAGCATTGGGTTGGTTATTGGATATGAAGATTGATGATCTCAGATAATCTCAGTATTACATTCTTAGTGCTGTAGTGCTCTTGCTTAAAGGGCCTTTCCGGGCAATTAGTGTACAGTTGGCTGCTAGGTTTTTTATTTTTATTTTAGATTAGTTTTGCCTTTTTGCTCCATATGTACCACTTTACACGATGTCATTGTTTTTGGATGTTGTTCAACTGACAGCTTTCTACAACAGAAAATTAAACAACCACACCCATTATAAACCTCGCTTTGCTTTGCCCATGAAAAATAGCTATGGAGAATTTACAGCAGTGCTAATGAAATGTAAACACTAGAAACTTACTGATTTGGTGAGAGCCAGAGACATAGCTTGTAGAATCGTTAGACCTTTAACAAATCATGACGCATTGTTGTTTAACTTTTTAAATGTAGTGGTCTTCATATTATTCAGAAACATAGGCTTGAGACCCAAACATTATAAAATATGATTCATAAGAGAAAAAAAAAACATGGGGGCACCTGCACATATAAAATACTTAATTTACACTTTTAACCAATGGCTTAAGGTATTCTAAAAACTATTTTACAATATATATTGTATCACTATGAGCTGTGTTCTATTGTACTTGATAAGCAATATATATATATATATATGAAAGGCTAAAAAAATCAGATTTTAAACACTGTCTTAGCAAAAAGTTTGTAGAAATTAAATTTTGTTTTATCCTAAATATTTTTTCAATCAGAAATGGTTATCAGTAAGTCATGAAATCACACAAAAACTCCTGGCATAGCCCACCCCAGGATACACTCCCTTATAATGAAAAAGAGTCTCTATTCAGCCATCTGATACAGTGGAAGGTAAGAAATAAAATAATGGGTCACTGTGCTAATTGTACAATTGAAAGGCTAGTGCCAAGCCCATAATTTTAAAACCTGTCTCAACAATATCTTGAACAATGAAATCATTGGTTTAATTACCAATTGATTACTGTTTTATTTCTCTATCGCTCAGTGATCCATTCCAATACGCCAACAATGCTAAGCTCCCAAAAAAACAACAACTATGAAATATGTTTCAAGTCATCATGCTTCACCAGTAGGAAAAGCTGCCAGATATAAAGTATTTACTAACAGCTGAATTTAAAAATCACAGCCAAAAAAAGTTTGGATGTAACAGGCAAATTCCATTGCCAAATGCCTCTTAAACGAACTTGCCGTGTACGCGTATATAGCATCTGCCACATGTAACTTATTTCAAAATGAGGCGCTGATATGACTAAGGGTCCTAAAGTTTATTGGTGTAAAATCCTATTAATCCAATAAAAAGAATTACTAGGTACTTCAGTACTGTTGTACATGTTGAAATTAAAATATCAATTCAAAGGGGAACTTTCACTTCTTCCGACTTTCAACATGTTTACCTATCCCTGTATTTAAAAAAATATATATGTGTATATGTATTTGTGAGGTGTGAAAAATAATTTTAAATGTAGAAATCCACACCTCTTATCCTGTAACTGGGGGCATCCATCTTAGCTTCTTGACAATTATTATAAGCTCCACCCTTTACTTCTGGCAGTCAGCATACAGAGATGAGAAGGAATGAAACAATGTTTCTATTTCTCCTCCTTATTTGCATGGTGTGCCCTGGTTTTGCCTTGATTGGATTGTGATGTCATTTAATAAAATTTTAATATAAATTTTAAAGAAAACAGAGAATTTCATGAAAAAAAAAGGTTAAAGGACCACTCTAGGCACCCAGACCACTTCAGCTTAATGAAGTGGTCTGGGTGCCATGTCCGCCTAGGGTTAACCAATTTTTTTATAAACATAGCAGTTTCAGAGAAACTGCTATGTTTATAAATGGGTTAATCCAGCCCTCAAATCCTCTAGTGGCTGTCTCATTGACAGCCGCTAGAGGCGCTTGCGTGATTCTCACTGTGAAAATCACAGTGAGAACACGCAAGCGTCCATAGGAAAGCATTGTAAATGCTTTCCTATGAGACCGGCTGAATGCGCGTGCAGCTCTTGCCGCGCATGTGCATTCAGCCGAATGGGAGGAGAGGAGGCAGAGAGGAGGAGGAGAGCTCCCCGCTCAGCGCTGAAGAAAGGTAAATTTTAACCCCTTTCCTCTCCCCAGAGCCGGGGAGTATGTTTTCCTGGCACTATAGTGGTCATTTAAAGCAAGTTATAAGTGATTTTCTGTATTTTATTCAGAGGTGTATTTTAGTAAATAACTCCTCTGGAGTTTAATTACACATTCTGGAGATGTATCGCTTCATCAGGACTTCGTGCTAACACCTAGTTAGAGAACAGTTGGCACAGAGTCACGTAATTAAACAACCATTCCCTCTTAGTAATAACAACGTTTAACCCTTATATGTATTTACACTGACAGCCTGCATTTCGCAATTATTATTATATATGCAATAAGAATATATGCCTCCTCCCTCCTCAAATGGCAACAGTATTAATAAACGTATGACCACCCCCGGTGTCCAGTGGAAGAGGATCAGTTAACATG